CTTAATCATCAACATCGCCTAACCGATTTTATTCCTTAACAACACTTGGTGGGGGAGGAAGCTCCCACACTATTCGTATTTTTGGATTTATTGTTATTAATTTAAGCGTAAGACCGTCGCTCCTTCATGCATTCTCAAGGCCGCCACAGAACTCGCGAAGAGTGGAAATGAACCGGAATATTGAAAATAGTTTAAGAGATTCGAGACGCTAGGAAGCCTAGGTACCTAGGTACTGTCCACAACGGTACTTACACACGTATTTTTTTATAACTGTTTTTTAACAATTATTTTTTATGTTTATGGTATTCTAAAGTTAAAATATTAATCGTTAGCAGATATAAAATCGGTTTAATGAAAGAGAGTCGGTCTCAAGTAACAATGAGATTTTACCCAAATGGCCGTTCAAGCAATCAAAAAACTGAACAAGTCCCTATTATATTGGATTGAAATGGCCATGCCTTTTATTACGTTTTAGATAATTAAATAAATATGTAATACTTTTAGAGTTTTATAATATACTGAAATAATTATTTTATATTGAACCTGTTAATAATGTAATAAAAAGCTAAAGTCTATATTTTTCTTATTTTAAGACTTTTTAGAAAATAACGATTTTATTTACTATTAGCTTTTTTACCCGTTATTTCGTACGCGTGGATTTTAAAATTAGGAAAAGATTTTAGAAGTAACAAGATAAAATGCACCAGATTTTAAGTTAGACCTTCAAAAACATAACTGTAAAAACCGCATCCGATTTGATATAGTAATTTTCACGTGATGCCAAAACAAACATAAAGTCAGTAAGACAAATAACATTTCTAATAATTATAATTATTGTTTTAAAATCTATTGAGCTTTTACCCGCGGCTTCGCCTGCGTGACCAGGATATGTTTACTGACTGAGATAAAAAATAGCCTACATCCTTCTCCACCCCATACGAGTATAGTACGTGTATACCAAATTTACAGTGGAGGGGAAAAGATTGATAGTAATGCGGTGCTGATTGCATTGCTAGCAGTCAGGTTTTTTTAATTGGTGATAATGGAATGGTAACCCCGTCTGTACTATCGGTATACGCTGGCGGAGCACCAGTAAGGTATGATAGGTGACGATAAAAGCAGGTCAGTTAGCCCATCGTAATGAATTCCAATAGAATTAATCACAAGGGTTTCCAAGGGGAATTACGTGGAGGACGACCTGACAGGGTGTATTGCTGGCAATGTCAATAAGACCCCATTACTAACAATCCCTTTCCCCCCAGCTGGCTAGGCCCATATATTATTCTATGTATATTCATACTATGGCCCATGATACGATGGGCTAATGCCTTTTCATTCTCACCTATCATCCCTCACTGGTGCCCCGCCAGCGCAAACCGTTAGCGCAGGTGGGGTATTCAATTACATTATCAATTAAAAAAAAAATCAGTGATTGATTAAAGCGTTAAGGTGCTATAAGATAATAAAGAAACAAACAAATTTTCACATTTATTATATTAGTAAGAATCACTAATATACATAGATCTTCCAACAAATTACAAAAATATAGCACCTATTTTTAGATAACTTTCTTATTTAACATAAGAAGTAAATTTTAATGAAACTTTAGTGTCCTAACGGGAACTTGGCTTATGGTTACACACAATTCCCTCACCTAATATCGAAACATTATTGGATAACGCAACGTTTAGACTTTTAATATCTCTCAGATTGGGAGCCAATACCAATTCTCACCGCTGCAGGTGTGGGGACAACGTTAATGCCATGGGATACCATAGCCTCTCTTGCGTTAAGAGTGCTAGGCGCTTGCTATGCCACCCAGGGATCAATGACATTTTCCGTCGGGCTCTTGTCATTGCGGGTGTGCCTGCCATCCTAGAACTTCCTGGTTTGATGCGTGACGATGGCAAGAGATCTGACGGGATGCCCATGGTACCTCACTTGCGCCGACATGGTGGCGCTGTCTCACTTTGTAATGTAAATAGGACTCTATTTTCCGCGCTTAGCCTCTCATTTGGGCCGTTGTGCTGTCTCACCTTCCTTGTCACGGCGGCACCAGCCCTCATGGTTGTACCATGAGGGCTGGTGCCGCCGTGACACACCAGAAGACTATTAAGCGCCGTAAATATTCATCCCTTGGAAATAGATATATATTTACGGCGTTTGGAGTTGAGACTCTGGGCCCGAGGGACCCCGAGACCATGAGACCTCTGGCGACCAGAAGGCTGACCTATTCTTTGGTCAATGCACCTCCATAGGCATTCAGCATGGAAGTGTCTACCAGTTAGTAGTGACCTCAAAGAATTTTTAATTGTAGTTTAAGGTTTTGTTATCGATATTTATAGTACTTCGATGTAAGGTGTATACATATTTGATAGATTTACTTTCCATAAAGTCTATTTAGTTCTTAATATACTATTATTTTATTTCATAAAAAAAAACCCTCATATAATTTTGTACACTTTATTGCATAAGTATTGGGCAAACTCGAGGGGGACCAAACTCCCCTACGAATGTCGATGTATAATTAAAAAAAAGACCTTTATTAAGGGTTAATAAAAATTTGGTGATTGTGTCATGTTTACTTCAACTTAAGAGATAGGATACTTTTCATCTCGATAAGGAAAAAAGGGATTCGGTAGATGGCGGTAGCGGTAACTCAATGTTGGCCAGATCAGCTAGTACGTATTTAAAAATATGCTTCAAAACACAACAGCGGCTTATAAACCGCTAGAATACACAAGTGAACTTGGCGAATAATAATACCCTAACTGTTTTAAATTTATAAAATCAAACTAGTTTCAGATCAACATGTTAGGATTCCGTATCGGTAATTTTTTTTAAAATAAATTTTGTTAACTTAATTTTAAATACATATAACTCTCACAGCCATATGTCATTTTAAAGGCAGTTAAAAATTATTATGTAGGTAAGTACAGCCTAAATTTGATACTAATAATTATGAAAAATTTTAGTAACCAAGATAAAATTCTTAAAATACAACTATATTTGTTCAAGGATGTTTGTTTGTTCCTTATAGAAACACTGTATAGAAAGTTTTTATTCATTTTATAATATACAATAAATACTTACTTGCGCAAGTGAATTCCAACTTGAAAATTGGAAAGCTTGATAATATATACAAATTCTTATAAGACAAAAATGATTATTTCCTATTATGGTTAACGATTTTGCTGAGTTTCTTGTAAAACAAATTAATAAGATACTACACAAGTTATTGTATAAAAATATTATTTACATGTCTTATCCGATTAAACATTCGTAACATAGGCCAGTGGCTACAGTTATACATGTACCTATAATATCATTTAGGAACGATTTACCTACCTATTTATTGGAAGAATATGATGCTCTTGTGAAGGATTGAGCAAGATATATAGATCTCAAGATCTTCATAAGTTCACGTTATGTATGTACACAAATAACCAAAGATATCACACACGGAGAATAAAAATAATTGAGCGACGGCAAAATGGAATCGACAGTAAACATGATAGGTAGCCGTCCTCAAAAGACTGATGTGATAGAATTGAACACTATATTGTTTCCAGCTACTGTTCGGCTTTTAAGTACCACTCGACACAGGGTATCAATATAAATTGATACGATACGCTCTCCAGCAAGAGATAATAAACAAATAAAGTGCATTCACATTGATAAAGGTCGACGCACACTCCCTCATATTATCATTACACCACAGTTCAATGACATGACCATCAATGTAACACCTAGCGCCATCTGTTGTAGGATTATAGAAATAATAATTATGTTTGCAACAAACTACTTACGTGAAAAGTCTGCCTTTTGTATTACGCGAAACGTTCCCTATAACCGTTCAAATTGCATATACACGCACAAATAAACACATCTGTTGACAAACAATCAGTGAAACATGCAAATCGCGTCCACAACACGATCCTTACCAAGGGCCCGGGACGGACTGTCCGGGCGTCTGTGCGGTCCCTTTCCTGCTTAGGGCAGACGCTCATTCGACTCTTACATTGGCTGTGTCACGAACCAATCGCGACGCCCGCTGCGCTTCTTCATCACTGGCTAGCAGCGTCACAGCGGAAAAAGCGGTGGGGAAAACAACTGACGAATTCGCCTCCGCTGGTTAACACTTCTCCCGCCATTCGTTTCATACACAAATTGATGTGCGAGGCCACACCGCTCTATGTGAAGACACCAATCGGCTTTAACCGATTATTCAGCAAACGATGAGATTTTAGCAGCTAGATTAATGTGATTAGCCACTTATTTCCTATAGCATAATCTGGAACTGATGAAATTATTTTATAGATTCTCAAAGTGTTATTGACGTATTTGACCTTGCATATACTTTGATTTTTTCTAAACTAAATAACATAATATAATGTAAATCGACGTCTCTTCTGCTTAAAACTTACATCAGAGCTATTACTGTAGGTCCAAACATGAAGACTTAACAATTAATAATTTTTAATGTTGTTTAATAGGTACTACATACATATATATAGTAAAAATAAAAAGAAGATGTTCAAATATTTCGAATCTTCAACTAGAAATCCAATCATTTAATTGTGATGCCGACCACCTTTACAATCATTATTACCTACTATACCATACCTCTTTTATTTATATTCTTACATACTTTGTGTACTATTAGCAATATATTTTTTGCCATCATCTTATGACAAGTCTCCTCCTAACGCTATATTACCTACTACATGCACAAAGAGATAATACTGCTTGATAAGTAAGTGTTACGCGGAACAGCCAACATCTCGTGGCATAGATGATTTTCTTCGTATTTGCTATCAAGCCATAGATAAGTACTTAGTAATATCGTATAATAAAAAAAACGAGAGGATATGAACCCGAATTGATTACAATATGATATTTCACTTAAGCTCTTAAATAATCTCTATAGGTAAATGTTTATTCATACAATCATCTTGAAAAATACTTTTATTAAAATAACAATTCTTTCCCAATATCAAAAAGAGTTGCCTTTTAATAGTAAATGTCGAAAATATAATAACCGAAACAATTAAACAGAACATATTGTTTGATGCAGTGAGCAAATATTTCTACTTAAAGGAATGTAAAGTTTATTCATTAGTTCGTGAAGTGCCTTCTTCTGCATCACAAACACATTTCGTATTGCGACACTCAACCTTCGTGACTGCCTCGCTCGCGGCATTGTTCATATCCCACCAAATTGCACCACCCAGGACATTTCGAAAGTATGGAGGTACATTACCTTTACGCAGAAGATATCTGCAATAAACAAAATTCGATTAATATACCAAAGTGGAAAACTGGATTATATAGACAAATGATATTATGGTTTAAATTTATTATTTACACATTTATTACAACAATGCCATTACAGGTTCTTGCCTAATGCGACAACGTTTCATGTTTGTAATACCTATGTCTATGATATTACATACCTAGTATTTGAATAATAAAATAATGACTTTTCTGTAAACGTCTCCATTGAATAATTAAATATAGCAATTTCGTCATCTTTGCTAATCATGAGAGCAGACAAACCACTCTAGTAAATGACGCATACTGCTAGAGATTAGTGCACGAAGAGGACACATCGAGTAGAGCCGGTTAACGCCTTTCTAATAAGTATACAATTTACTAATGTTGAGAGTGACAACTGCATGCAGTATCTGTATACTCCTCAGAACTTAGGTCACTAATGCGATATTCGGTCTTACTTCCTGACTAACATAACCTACAATTCCCTAAACGAAAGAAATAGGATACATAAGAGGGAAATAAGAATACACCCCGTATTCTTTCAGGTAAACAAACCGAATAAACTTTTTTGAATTTTCTCAATCATTTGGATGTATTTAGATTCATGCGATTCCAAATTACTACACTACTTTCAAGTCTGTTTCTTACGAGCAATTTTGGGTAATTCAACTGAAGATTAATATGCTTATGTATCTACATTCTGCATCAAAGTAATATGAGTGAAGGCTACCCATAAAATTAAATTCGATCTCCCCAGTTTGCGCTCTATTGGCCTGTTTAAATGTCTGGAGAATCTGTATGAAACATACATTCTTTTTTGACAATTTTGACAGATGTAGGTACAATTTGGATTTTGTGTTAAATAGGTCCTCATCGTGAAAACTTAATCTTAGAACATCACTAAAGCCTAATTGCGATTGCCAATGCCCTCGCCAAGCGTGGCAATTATTGACAAACCCCCCTTTTTGGGAGACGTTTATGTTCACCAGTGGACAGTAAACGGCTGATATAATGATGATTCATCGCGAAAATCGTTCGACAAATAGTGGCCTAGAGGTCTACCATGAAATGAAATTCTGAATTTTCGGGCTCAATTTCGTGCTTTTGTTCGTACCGAAATCGACCCTGTAAATGGAGCTTAACATTTCGTTTGTCATAAATCCTACCATAAAAGTTCAAAGGAACGATATTTTAGCATTTTTTATATTTTTGAACGGTACGTATCATATAATTTTAGCATCAAATTTTTGTTTCGTTCGGATCCGAAATTTCGGAAAACATTTCATGGTAGGCCCTTTAGTATCTGTTACTGTTCGCTGTAGATAGGTTTAAATGCCTAGTTATTCAATCAGATGTTGTTATACCTATTAGTCCGGGTGCAAAAAGATTTTCATTCATTGAATTCAAATTATAAATAAATAAAAAATCCGAAAACAATGTGTTGAGTTTAAATCCGATAAACGCGTCGTTATCTCCATATTTCGTTAAAGCATATCATTGTAACATCTCAGCCTTTAAAATGTTCGCTATACTCGATAGTGCTTTCTGTATATATCGTTGGGGTACCAGTAACGGATAGTATGTGAGGATGAAAGCAAATTCGTCATGACAAATTCTGTCAGGATGTGCCAACTAACCTGCTTTCATCTTCGTTCTCAACATGAATTAACAATTATTTGTAAGACGAAACGCTAGAACATGATCTAACCTACCCATACTATTGGTGGGAAGGGACTGTTAGTAGTGGGGAGGTTAGTCTCCATTGCTATCAATATACCCTATCAGGTCGACCTCCACGCGGTTACCCCTAGAAACAATCGTGGCTAATTTTTCGTTGAATTCGTCATGATGGGCTAACTGACCTGCTTTTTCATCCTCACCTATTACCTCTCACTGGTACCCAGCCAGTGTATACCGATAGCGCAGGTGAGGTTTCCATACCATTTTCACCCATTAAACAATCCATACTAATAGCTTATTATGATCATCATCATTTCAGCCATTATTCGTCCACTGCTGAACATAGCATCCACCATAGACTGGCATAAAGAGCGGTCCTGAGCCGCCTGTATCCACTGACTCCCTGCAATACATTTCAAGTCGTCACACCATCAAGTGGGAGGTCGTCCTATACTGCGTTTGCCCGTACAGGGTCGCCACACTATTAGCTTATGCGCCTTAACAATCCTTTTCCCTATGATAAATCCATTCCCAATGAGGTCATAACAATGTCAGTAAGTAGAAACGTCCCCCCTTAACCATATTTTTACTCATACTGGACACGATCCCTGCTAGTAGAGGCGGATTACAGTAGACCAAACATCTTTATAAATAGAAACGAACGATCAAATTCTAGTTGAATTCACACGCCGGGGATTACGTATAAAATATGTATAATCTGTAAATAGGTTATTACAGATAAATAGTTTTAGATAGATAAACATTTATTAGAATATCTGGAAATATGTAGATATGAAATAATTTGACCTTATGTATAGATATGTTTATTGTATTTATTATATAATAAAAACAACAAATGATGATTGTATTTATAATTTGAAAAAAAAATTAATATTCAAATATAATATCATAATTATCGAATATTTGTAAGCCATAATATATTTAAAATTTATAATAGACAGTACTTACAAAACATTATAAAATACTTAGATATGACAACTCTCACGTCTTTTATAACATATATAGTAGAAAGGGAAAACACTAAGTTGATTTCGTAGAGACTTGGTCATTATTGGCTTACGATAGGTAGTCTTACGTATCTGTAGTTCAAACTTAAAATCCTACGGTATCTTTGCCATTAAAATCTAAGACAAACTGTCACAATTAACGATCTCTGGGGAAATGGATTGTTAGTAATGGGGTCAAATAGCACCATTACTAGCAAGGTCAGGTCGATTCCCCCCCGTCAGGTCGACCTCCACGTGTTTCCCCCTGGAAACCATCGTGGTTAATTCTAGACGAATTCGTCAAGCTGAGCTAACTGACCTGATTTCATCCTCATCTATCATCTAACACTGGTGCCCCACCAGTGTATACCCATAGCGCAGGTGGGGTTACCTTATCATTTGCACCGATAAAAAAAAATTAACGATCTCAAACATTTCGTGAACTATTAAAAAAAAATACTAAATAATACCTACTAAATACCTAATAAGTACCTATTTGATTTTCATAATCATTAAGTACATAGGTATATGTTTCTTTTTTAATAGATGAAAATGGAATGGTAACCCCACCTGCGCTATCAGTATACCCTAGCGGGACACCAGTGAGGGATAATAGGCAGTGGCGTAACTATACCATTTGGGGCCTGTGGCAAATTCTTTTGATTGGACCCTATCATTTATTTTCAAGTAAAATAAAATACTCAGGTACAAGGTAAGAAAAAAGTTCTAAGCTCTCTCGGCCTCTTGAGCCGAGGCCCTTTTGGGTCGGGGACCCGTGGCATTTTGCCAGCCCTGCCACCCAATGTTACGCCACTGATAATAGGTGAGTATGAAATAGATAAGTTGGCCCATCGCAATGAACTAATTTAAAATTAACTACGATGATTTGATTGATGATTATGAGCTTCCAGTCAATTTTATATTGATTTATTCTGTTCCAGTAAGTAAACGTAAAAATTATATTTATCGCTTCACCACAAAAGGAACTTAAGTATGAATATGAATCAAAAAAAGACAAAAATAAAGAACCTCTTGTACCTACTTACAAATATGACAATTGGACGTGCCTATGTATAGAATGGTAAACTAGACATTTTTGTCGCTTCCAAGTCATGTACCTAGGTATATTTTACGAATGTGTTCAGTTGACTAGTGGAAAATCCCAATAAATCCTAATGATTTGACATTTAGTAGTAGAAAACTCTTACAATTATTGTTCTTGTTTGTATTTAAAATTTTAAAGCTTTCCATAGATTTTATTTATTTTAAAATTCAGTGCTATGTATGATCATCAATACGTCGCTTATATTAGGTACGTCTATACTAGGTATACGTCGCCTATGTAGGTTACCATAGTATTAGTAATAATGTATGTTAACATAGTGTATTCAATTTTGATATTATCATAGTAAAAGCTAAAGTTTGTAACGAGGGATATTAATATGAAAGTTATATGAGAAAATTTACTGTTAATTGCAAAGAAGAATATTAAAATTGGCTCAGCATTAGCGCCGTAATCTCATAACATAATTCTAAAACTACAGATGAATAAAAATCTCCGCCTTTTTAAAGTCGCTCAAAAATAACACCCTCATGTGTATACTAATATTGGTACGTACTGGTAGAACTGCTCTTCTTTGTACTCCTCAGCACGGCGTCGCCAATACCTCTTCAGATCGGGGCTCATTTCCTCTACCTTTTCTATTTCCCGTAAATTTTCACGTTCTTCCTCTAATATCTTAAGTTCTGCTGCGCATTCTAATGAAAAGGCATAATTATATAAATTAACAATAAATAAATTTATATTGTGCTAATATCTATCTATTATTACGTTGGTTTTAAGAATTTAATTGAATAAATTTGTGGAACTCGTACACACTTGCATAATCGGGATAAAACAAATACAAAATATTTGTGTTAAACTTTATCCTTATAAGTTTATTGCGTGACGTCAAACATACTAACGTACAAAAGAAATCATTCTATGGTTATAAACACGATTTACCCATATATACATATAATGTGGTAATTATTTCTTCGACCATTTTACTGTCGGTAACAATTTATATAATCGTTATACACTTTTCACCCAAAATAAAAGTAGTCAAACTATGCATACTTTATACTGAATGTATTTAATCACTTTTTTAGGTAATAAAAAATTAGATTTGTTAGTACTTATGCATATTAGAAAAGTATCTATACCTATTAAATACAGTAACTGCTTCAAATGTCGATAGATATACATATATATATATATATATATATATATATATATATATATATATATATATATATATATATTGTTTATATATATACATCATATATATATATATATATATATATATATATATATATATATATATATATATATATATATATATATATATATATATATATAAACAACACCGGTACAGTAGTAAACTTATTATAAACACTCGGAGATGCAAATAATTTCAAGAAATGTTCACACTAAGAAAACAATGGGCAGCCTTATGAATAAAAGCAATCTCTTCCAGGCAAACTTTGGATGGAGAGGAGTAGTTACATACAACGATTTTCATTATACTTGTAAAAGAGATATGGCAATGAATTTACAGGGTACAGAGGAATACCTGAGTCCTTAGGAATGGCAACGCATGGGGGGTATCATGAGCAAAACAGTACACTTTGTGGTACTGCTCATGTCTACAGGCGACGGTTACCACTTTCCATAGCAGGTGGTCCATCAGCTTGTATGCCATTCTAAGTTACAAAAAAAAATGCAGACTACTAGCGATCCGCTCCGGCTTCGCACAGGTAGGTAGAAAGATAAATTAGTAAATTATATTAGCTTTAATACAGATTTTTTTGACATTTTGGGTTACATTATTGTAATTTTTGTAGAGATCTCTATTTAAATATATCCCGCGTTACTCGTTAATAATGTAATTTTCTATAGATGAAAGAGTTTTTAAAATCTGTTGAATTGTTTTTGATTTGGTTACGAAAGTATTTGTGGAAAGCGTTACACAAGCAGCGGCCCCACACGATGCATCATATCACCTGCTAGCACACAGCGCCGAGTCAGCGCAACGCGCCGGCGAATTTACGACGAAACAATGGTGCATAGTTTAGTTCACACATTAGCCAATAGACACAATTTTTTCTTATAATTAGAATTATTTTATTATTAAAATGAAAATAGTTATTGTAATTTTTTGGATTTCCTGCATCCTTCGGCTGTAGTCCTTTTATCTAGTTTATCCATTACAAACAACCAAACACACAAAATTATATATTATTAGTATAGATAAACTTCACATTAAAAAATGTATATCATCATCATCATCATTTCAGCCATTATTCGTCCACTGCTGGACATAAGCCTCCCCCATAGACTGCCACAAAGAACGGTCCAGAGCCACCTGCAACCACAGACTTCCTGCAATGTATTTCAGGTCCACTCCATCTAGTGTGGGGTCACCTACCTGCGTTTGTCCATACGCGATCGCCACTCAAGAACATTTCTTCCCCATCAGTGGTCGATTTTTCGAGCTATGTAACCAGCCCATATGTATATGTATATTTAGATACAATAAAGCTACACTGGCACTATTGTTAATCTATTTAAAAAAAATACATTCGGTGTACCTTCTAGTTCTCCTTCAACTAATATTTCTCCAACTACGGCGGATGGCTTCGTCGTAATAATAGCTTTAGCTCGACTCTGAACATCTACTGTGAGACGTCCTTTTAACTTTTCATATATTCTACATAAAATATAATATATTACTTTATTGTAATTATTATTTAAGAAAATATTATTACGAATACGTTCATTCTACTAGTAGAAAATTTTAGTACCGCGTGGAAACAGCCCTTATAGCTTTTCATTGGGTAAAAATGGAATAATTGCCTCGCTTACGCTATCGCTATACACTAGCTAGGTGAAAAATGATAGGTAACGATGTAAACAGGTCAGTTAGTCCATCATAACAAATTCCATAAGAATTAACCACGATGGTTTTCAGGGGGAATACCGTGGAAGTTGACGTATAGAGCATATTGCTAACAATGAAGCTGTTAGATCTTATTACTAAAAATGCCTTTCCCCCTCAGCCTTTATAATTGACTTATTCCACTTATATCTAACAACGTTTCCCTCGTTTGTATATGTTCCATATATATCATACATTCATTTGCGGAGTTGAAAAGCCGATTAACAAATTAATGACAGTAGTAATCGACTAATTACAAGTTTTCTAAGGTAAGTATTGCGTATCCTTAGCTCTAGCTACTCCCACAACACCATATACATGGGGGCGAGAGATTATTAGTAATGGGTACCAGTGGCCCCATTACAATATGTAAGATTGATCTCCACGCGGTTTTCAGTGGAAATCATTAGTTATGATAGGCCAATGAACCTCATTCTTTTATTCTCACATGTCGCCCTTCACTAGTGACTTGTCAACGTATACTGATAATGCAAGCGGAATTAAAGTACCATTAACTTTATTATCTAATAAAAAAGTAGCATTATGGTGTTTTTTTATTGGATGATAAAGATGATATAAAAGCATGAGCCTTACCACTCCACAGGACTACAGTGTTAGGGCCTCACGTGTCAATTATTATATTAGTTACTTTACTTTTCTAAAGTATACAATCGATTATAAAATTAGTTAACTGGTTTATTAACCACAGAAATCATGTTACATTTTTAAGAAAATATATTTACCTGTGCGCCAAGGCTTGTATGATGTCGTCAATGCGTCGTTCGTTCTCAGATCGTGGATCTAGTATTGGGATATTAAGTAAAGTTTCGCTGTTCGATTCCATAACTTGACGATATCGCAATATCGCATTCAACAATTCCCTTGCACCCTTTAATTTGTCTCTATCCTTTTCGTTCCATTGTTGTTCAAGTGTTCTAAAGTGAAAGCAGCTCATGTATCTCAAGATACAGCAAAATTCTCTCAGTAGGACACAACAGCCGAGAAAAATGAGCAGTAAGTATAATGAAGAATTCTATAACTTTTGAAATCCAAAAGAACTCTACCTAATGCGCAACATGTAAACAAATTGCATGAAAGAAGTAGTATTTATATATTTAGTCTATGAGAGTATACTGAATAAATATATCGCCATTTGCTAAGAACTAAAGCGTTACCCTTTTTATATTAGATATTGCACTAGATCTTACGAAGGGAATATCTAAAATAATTAAATTTATCTTATAGACCGAAATATAGGTGCCTAGACAGTAGGGATGGGTTATACATATAGCAATATCTGTATATTGTAGTTACAATAATTATATATTGGCCCAATAAAAAATATGTTAAATATATAATACTGAAGCACCCGATTGAAACAATATCGGGTCTACCTACACCATTTGAATATCCGATCGGTATAGGCGATATTGAAATGGATGATGATCTTTTTACCGTCTTCAATTATCTGAGGAATCCAATATACAGATATCGGACACAATACTAATATTCCCCATGTCTACTAGAGAGGTACGCATTGCAACTTTACACTAAAAATAAATTACCCAGGCTAGTTACTCATAACGCTCTGTTGTTTCAACTGAAAGCATAAATTACGTAATAGGTGTTATTGAAACGACTTCTTTAAGAACCAAATTCCCTATACCATGTTTATAAAACTTACCTTAAAACGAATGCTCTAGGTAGTCTCGGTGGTAACACGTTATCCGGTTTCATTGATTTAGGTTTGAATCTTTCATATGGGCGCATCCAATGGTAAAAACCTTTACCAGTGTCTTTTTTCAAATCCTTATAGGTAAGATATTTTGGCTTATCAGCGAGATTAGAATCCATCAACCATTTCTGATCATTAATAATTAAATAATTATTAGGCATTTATTAAATATTAAAAAGTATTAATATATTAAATGCAATCAGTATAGAAAGAGATCTGTTATATTAGACACTGACCTAGAATGCATGTCAAGCAGTAGATAATTATATGACAGTTTTAATAAAACACCAGTTTTATAAAACAAAAATATTATATAAAGTATTATGGGGTAGAATGGACTATGTTCTGAAGAACTCTTCTACATGATGCCTACAGCCCCCTTTTACATTCGCACTGCTCGCCATTCACAGGGAATCCATCCTCACACCCTAGAACCAGAATGGTCACGCACAGTGCGGTTTCATAGGAGCTTCCTCCCGCGAACACTGGGATTGAGTAATAATCTTCCGAGCCAAGGATTTCCCTAGAGACTAAAGCATGAAGTTCTTAAAAAAGGGCGTATTAAAATACGGAGACCCCGTTAACCAGCAGACGAGTCGTATGCTCGTTTGCCACTATAGTATTATAAAAAAAGATAGATTATTTTTATTAGTGACTAGCGATCCGTCCCGGCGTCTCACGGGTGGACATTTTTAACACTTCCCTTCACTGCTCTGCTCCTATTGATCGTAGCGTGATGAAAAGTATACTATAACCTGCCCAGGAGTATGAAGAATAATTGTACCAAGTTTTGTCTTGTAAATAAAAAATCCGTCGAGTAGTTTTTGTTTCTATAACGAACAGACAGACAAAAATTTTACTGATTGCATTTTTGCCATCAGTATCGATCACTAATCACCCCCTGATAGTTATTTTGGAAATATATTTCATGTACAGAATTGACCTCTCTACAGATTTATTATAAGTATAGATATAGATTTCATACCTCAGACTCCGTTAGATGTACAGGAGTCAAAATAGTAATTAAGCTTCTATGGTCACCAAATGAATCATAATGGTTTATGGAACACCATGGCTGCCATCGACAGGCTTGCTTGTACTCCTCCAGCAATGTTCTATGAACTAATTCGGAACACGCAAAATCTCTGTAAACAATCATATACATATATATATATTAACTAAAAAGACTGAGTTACACTATTATCATAATTGTAAACAAGTGAACGTACCGTTGAAGAACGAAAAATTTTGTTGTCTGGGCAATATACATTTCTCGGCATTTTCCATGTGATGCAATTGAAGTTTCAGATTTGTTATCAGTATTTTCATCTTCTGCATTTTCCAACTTTTCTGCACATTCTTCACTGATTGTTACTTCTTCACTTTGCATCAGTTCTTTAGAATATAATTCATCAATAATATTAATAGATCCTTCGTCATTCACTGCAATTTTTTTACAAAATGAGTCTCTCATTTTTAGCCAATTTTGATGATTTTTAGTAATACTGCTTTTGTCATCAGATTTAATTTTTATTGTACAGGTCGTATTTAACCGACATTGGGGGCATGCTTCGTAATCAACAATTAAATTCTCTCCATCGAATTTAGCATAAGTCGATTCATCTAAGAATATGTCATAACGATTATTAGTATCTACAATGACTCGTGTACCATCTGGAGAATCCACGGAAATTTTATTATCAGCTTTATTAATTGTTACTGTAGTAAAATTGGCATGTTCGATCGTGAAAATAATCTGCACAGATACATAGCCACCTGATCTTCCATTTTCCTTTGTATCTTCCTCTTCTATTTTCTTTGATACACAACTAGCAATGCTTGAATTATAATTGTAGTTACCTATATAGCTTTTTTTTGGCACAGATGTTTTTGACTTCATTGTGTTAATTTCAATCGTATCCATTTCTAATAGGTCGAAATATTCTTTTTCTTCTTCGGTCCACTCTGGAAATATTTCTTCATCTTCAATAATATAAGTCGTTATAATTCTTGTATTATCAGGAAAAGTTACAACTTGCACTCCTTCCTTGTTGAGTAAAATACTGGTACCATCCATACGCCTAGAAAATATTTCTCTTAGGCAATAATCTGTAGCAGTGCGGATTAATAATCTTTCAATATCAAATGCAACGCCATTGATCCATTTTTGCCTCAACCCATTTGTATCAATGTATTCAAATTCTTCAACGATTACCTCAAATTCAGGTGCTTTATTTTCCGAAAAGTTGTCGTCATCAGATGAAAAATTTTTTGAAGATTTTGACGAAGTTTCATTAGGTTTTTCTTTAGTCTTGTCTTTGTTTTTTACTTTCTTACTTTTATCAGAACTGATTTCGCTAGGAACATCGTCAACTTCAGTCACAATAACCCTTTTCTTGCACTTTGTAATCTTAATATAAGAACTATCTGGACGAAGTACCACAATGGGTCCCGATTTTCTAAAAACTATTACTTCACCATCTAAGCTTATACATCGCATATCTTCATCAATATAAGATAAGGGTTTTATGTAATATTGTTTGATGTGAGAAATAACGGGCGAATTATTTACATATACACTTTCTGTAATGAGCCCATTCGGCCAAGTCATAAAAAGTGAATGATAGGATCTTGTTTCATATATCGATTGTAAAGCACGAAGTTTTTCTGAAGGAGACTTTAACGCACCCTTGTTTTTAGGATTTTCTGTAGTAGACATTGTAACGGAAGCAAGTGGTACTTGATGTGACTGTTTTTTAATATTTATCATAACATTATTCGTACTTGTTATTCTAAACGAATCACATATATTCTGAGTCTCTGAAGAAATATACTCTCCCAAAGCCCTGTGAAACCAAAATTCATTTTTACTGTTGCCAGGAATTACCTTTAAAATTATGTATTCTGCATTAATCGGTATTATTAGAGTGTAATAACTTGAAACTTCTGTTCCATCTTTAGAAAAGAAAGTTGAATCTCTGCCTACTATTTCTACTCTCCTATCGCCTAAATTGTACCCTGAAAATGGTTTTTTGGGTATTTCAGAAGCAGAGTTAATACGAGATGCCAAAAAAGACTGTGTTAAGTGCTTCGATGAAGAAGCAAATGTTGACTTCGCTTTTCTACTGCTTTTAGAATCAACTTCTGTAGATGTTGGAGATATTGTTGTCTTTTTTGAAGTCGTATATTTTGTTTCCGTAGACTTCAAGGTAGCTTCATCAATTTGGGAAAGTTCTTGATATTTTAAAGAACCTTCCATTAAAAGTTCCATTTCTACTTCATTATTATTCACACAAGATTTTGCGGCAAAAGGATCAATTAAATCTTTAGAAACTGACTGTGATTTTAACATCATATGCTCATCATAAATTTTTTCTTCTTTTTGGATCCAGTCGTAGTGTTCTTCTAACACAAAATCAAAAAAGTCTTGTAAGCACAGCGGCGTTGGCAAATGACAGCGCCATTCTTCGCGCGCAATATTATTTTTATCATAACTATTAAAGAACATTAATATGATGCAATCTGTTATTTCACAATATTTGTAATCAACGCAATTATACTTATTAAAAGCGTCAAGTATGATCTGAAATGCATGTGTTCCAGTAAAGTCTTCAAAAAATTCAAAATCATCAATCATATGGTTATTTGGTCTATTGTTAGCAATTTCTGCTGCCGAAACTAACTCACTAAGATCTGGGTAGTCAAAAAGAAATTTAATCCGTTGTGCTTCTGTATTATTTGAGTAAGATACATTTGAAGCATTTTCATTTTTTGTCATAAAAGGGAAAGATGGTGAAGTGGTGGTACTTGAGTTCTGAAGAGCAGAAAAGCTTTTTGACAAAGGCACAGCAAGGACGCTTCGTTTTAAATAGACTTTTTTAAAATCTGAAATTGTAGTAGAGGGCAAGTGGTGTTTTTTTAATGAACTTCTATTATTGTATAATTTCTTACAAGACAAAATATGAATTAATCTATTTAATTCTGCTGTTTCTACGTCTACTCTATCAAAACAAGATAAAAGTACATTGATGTGGAAATTTATTTTAGCTTCTAATTCTCCTACGGGTGGGTCTTGATTTTTCCATAAATTGTTAATAGGCATTCCAAATAAAGATGACCATACTATGTTGTCTAAATTAATATTTTCCAGATGGAAAGTTGTATTTTTAACAAAATCGCCATAATTAATAATTATGGGATCTCTATAACCCTCATATTCATCTCCGTATGAAATATGATAAGTTTTCCTATTTGACTCAGTATTACAGAAAGTATTAAAAACGTCTTTTATAAGTATTTCTGCTCTTACTGCTTTATTATTAGTTCCATTCGCACGATTTAATGTTAATGAAGTTGATAATGAACTTCTACTGTTTTTATCATCAATTTCTTGGAATTTAGAAACAGTTTGAAGTATACTGTCTAATATAGAATATATAGTGACAGATTCTAAAGGTAAATCGTTAAGCTGTTGCTGATAATATTTCTTACATCGTTTATCCTCCTTTTCTTTTGGTATATTTATAACATCCATATTTTGTAAGTAATGAGTATGTTGTCTTGTTAAATCCTGAATGTCGTATATTAAATAACATATTTCATCATATATTTTATCAGGGTTCCCAGATAGTCTTTCTGTATCCCAGTATGGTGGAGTGAACACTATAAAAGCAGTATTTTTAAAATCATCTGCGTAACTCCTATTAATGCGTAATTGCTGTAAATCTTCCCAAAAGTGCAACGATTTCTCGGTTAATATTTCAGTTTGACTTTGACCTCTTTTGGTAACACGAAATAAGCTTGAAGGCACATTAACTATAGTGGGGTCGATTCTAATTTGGACTATTGCAGTCAGAGGTATTCCAATTTTTACGAGACAGCTTGGTAAATACGGCTCAACAAATCCTGTAACAGCGACATAAAGATTTGGTCCATCTGTAGGATAGTCATCAACATAAACTTTATCTCTCCATTCTTCGCCTCTTACTCTAAGTAAAGTATTATATTTTTTCCCCTCAGTTGGTTCTGGGATTTGACTTGCAGGTTTAGCTTCTCCCTTCTTTCCTTTTCCCTTCGAAGGTGGTGAAATATCTACGAACTCTGGAGATTTTACGCTGACAGTACCTTTAACTTCCGCTCTATCAATCATAGTTGAAGACTCCCTCTTCGTTCCTTCATTTACTTCGAGCCTTTGACGTTTAATAAATAAATATTCATCTTTCATTTTTAATATAATATATTTAATTATTAACGCTTGAATATCTGGAGGAATATCTTTCTTATCTTTGAGATAGGATTGACCTTCTTCAAAAACTCTTAAATTATCATCTGTTATTTTCTTTTCTCCTCCTAGTTGATTAACCATGAAAATAGTTTCAGTTTTACTAATATTTTTAATGACAAACCTTTTTTCTTCGGCAGCAAATATTTCAAATTTATTCAAATAAATCCTATCTTGGTCACTACCAGCCGCTTCTATAAGAATGACTTTAACTGTCCACGTATCACTGTCTAGTGGAGCCTCTTCAATTGCTGTACGCCAAGAATTTTCGTCAAAATTATCTTTACCCTTTTTAGGTCCCATCAGGTTTTAAATTCTGCAGACACCTAATAATGACAATAAAAAAAATTATATAGCATTAAGTACTTCTTAGTACAAAACAATTATTAATTGCGAAAATGACTATGTTTTTGACTAACGAGAAGTGACATTGTTTATATTTTTTTATCATATGCATTAAGGTTTTAGTAAAGAAAAACTTTGCGTGTATATAATATATTAATCTCGAATAATATATTAATAATTATTATTAATATATTATTCGAGATTAATATATTTATCCAAATGATCTCGTTCCAGGAAATATATAAGTAGTTCATCAGTTAAGTATTTTGTTAGTAAAATATATTTTTTTTAAATCTGATCTGATCAGTCCGATATATTTAAAAATAACAAAATTACAATTTAGGCGATATCTACGGATAAGTATTTAATATAGAAATCAAACTATTTTTTATTACCTATTTATCCACATTAATTGAGCGAAAATGTTTCTTTGGACGCACTAATATCTGGAACCAGTCTGATTTAAATATTTTGCATTTGATAGCTCATTTCTTGAAGAAGTTTATAGACTAAACAACATAACAATATTACCATAGGCCAAGCCGCTGGATGAAGCTAGTTTAATGTAAATAATGAAAAGATAATAACATACCTCTAAATAACATTAATGTGCACATTTATTCAAATTTTCATTCATGCTTACGTAAGATGATATTTGATTAAATTTTATTATATGATAAATACCACCTAATAGTATATAGCAGTAAGTACTTTCAGTAATTAGCGATTTTTTTAAGATGCAAGAACAGCGTTTTCGTTTGGTTTTCCTTCGCATATCGATAAAATCTGTATATATCAAAACACGCAATACGAATTGTTTCGTACTCACGTTCCATGAACTTTCAAAAAAGCTCTTGACATCAGGGATGCCAGCTTCTAAAAAATTTTGTCATGTCAGGGTGGTCATGCTCTTTTACTATTTCCGCTGAAATTAAAGTGGAGATCAGAAAGCGATATTAAATATTAAATACGTTAATTAAATATTAGATATATCAAGCAGAATAAAATGTTATAGCAAACAAGATGCTTAGCAACGACATCCTCATCGATAAGATACAGATAGGTATGTCATCCATAACTCATACTCCTAACATCCCATCTACTTTTTATAGTTGCTGCCACTCATCCCAATGCGTGAGGGCAGTTCTTATAATCTTGGTTTGTAAAGAAGCTTCGTGAACATGTCGGCTGGTAGATGTTCCCATGAGACACGCTTCCTTCCTTTACATATTCCCTGACATAAAAATGCATTGTGCTTGTAATGATGATATTCATGTGCAAGATTGTAAACTAATTTGATTGCTGATTCATTCTCCACATAAGGAATTGATTAGTTGTCTAGCTCCGTTAATTCAGACAGTAACTCTTTTAGCTAAATATATTCCTGGGTTGCTTCACTAGCAGCTATAAGTTCAACCTCTGTCGAAGATAAGGTTCTTTAATTCGGTAATAAACTATTCCTTGTTTTTGACTTCCAAACTTGTTTCCAACTTTTAGTATCTGAGTAAAGGCTGAAAAAGTTTTTACAGGTAAATAATACCTACATACCTGCTTCTTTATTGTCGATGTTTCCACGTTTAAAATTAACTAAAGGCATATTAGGTATTCCTATGGTCTACTATGCAACAAGTTTCTTGATCACCAGAGATATCTGCGTCACTGTATTAATTTAAATTTCCTGTGATCAGTTTTAAACATTAACCCCTTATGTACTGGGGGGAAAGGGATTGTTAGCTATGGAGTCTGACAGCTCCATTGCTAGCAATATGCCTTATTAGGTCGACCTCCACGTGGTTCCGCCTGGAAACCATCGTGAACAATTCTTGTTCAATTCGTCACGATGGGCTAACTGACCTACTTCATCCTCACCTATCATCCTTCACTGGTGCCCCGCCGGTGTATACCGATAGCGCGGGTGGGGTTACCATTCCATTATCACCCATTAAAAAAAAAACCCCTTATGTACTGAAACTTTCAGGTAGCGAAGTATTCGTTTTATTCCAGTAACATCCCGTTTCATTGGTTTATCTAAATTTCTGGAGGTAACGCTCACTACGTAACTAATATCTGATCTGATTCTTACTATTAAATATGACAGGGTCCCAAAAATTTTTTACGCTACCTTTTGCAAAATAAAACCATAAACAAAAAAGAATGGTATTCTAAAAAATATAAAAATAAAAATTAACAATTAATATTTTGTTGATCTACCTTTAGAATTGATAATAACTTGAAATCTCTAGCAGAGAATCGATCAGTACGGAAGTGTAAGGAGAGGTAAGAGAGAAGAGAGGGTCTGTTCCCACTCTTCGAGCAGCTCAATTTTAGTGTTTCATTGCTTGAAATCGCATGTTTTTGAATTTTATTGTTTAGATAATCCCACACAATTAATATTATTGAGCAAATAAAGATAGGCAGCAACGTCCCTCTTAAATATCTCTGAAGCCTGACTGCGGTTGCCAATCCGCCTGCCAAATGTGGTAACTACTGGCAAAACCCCACAAAAGGGAGGCTATCGGTTAATGCGCTATCGGTGTACACCGGCGGGGCGCCAGTGAAGGATGATAGATGAGGATGAAGTAGGACAGTTAGCCCATCGTGACTTATTCAACAAGAATTATTCATGATGGTTTCCAGGTGCAACCACGTGAAGGTCGACCTAATAGGATATATTGTTAGTAATCGAGATTTTAAAACCCATTATTAACAATCCCTTTCCCCCAAATCTATAGATTAGAGAGGCTATGTTTAAGGACAGATAGGAATCTCTTAGAGGAACGTACGGAACGTTAGTGATTTCACATTTCAAAAAAGACCACCATAAGAGCCATCAATAATAATTATCGCTCAAACTATCGGTAATAATGTTGTGTTAATATATCGATATTTCTGTTCAAGATTTGGGATTTAATATAATAAATGTATATTAAGAAATATCTAACAATAAAAACAATAGAAAATATATAAATCTTTATTTAAATAATATTTATACATACATTTGATGAGATGTAAGCCATTTAGACATTTTAATGGATACAATGACTATAATTAACATATATATTACTTATTATTATTACTTAAGTTCAGAGGTTGCTGCTGAAGCCCAGCTTATTGTAGTGCTTGCAGTGGATTATTGTACTTCCTCCAGCGCTGATCGCAGATCTGAAATATTAAAATTTCTTTAGTAAAACTTTCTTGTCTTTTCAAACATGAATTCTTCATATCATTTTCACAGTTTACATAAATTCATGTGTATAAATACTTAGATTTCAAAATAATTAATAAACTCCAATTAAGTTCATCACATAACATCTCAATTTTAAAATAAAAATTCAAAATTAAATGTTTTAACTCAACCATAGAACAAGTGAAGTACATAAATAAGAAATTTATTAAATTATTAAACTACAATTGTATTAAATTATAATATTTTGAAATATCATATCATAAATATCATAAATATTTTTAAAGTAACAGTTGGCATTATGTGTGCTGGAATAGTTCAACTGTAAATTTTCTCCTTGTTATGGCGCTATTACATTATGTGATTTGCATATCTGAAATAATTGTGTTGACATTTGATCGATATACAGTGGTGGTCATATAATTAGAAACACTACCAACATTATGTAAGATCTTGACATTATTAGAAAAACAATATAGATCCCACTACACAAGTGCAGTTTCAATATTACATTACGGACAAACATTTAAATCACTAATAAGGTATGAACAATAATAGTCAACTAATTAGAAACAACAACAAAGAAGTATAAAATAACAATATTTTGTTAAGTGTTAGTAATTAGTATTGTTATTTATGAAATAGCTACTATCCACACCCTAACAATAGTTATAATTAATATTTAGTGGCGTATCCCTTATTTGCAATTACAGCACTGCAACGACGTGGCATTGATTCAAACAATTTCATACATTTTTCTAGGGTGATTGAATTCCATGCTTCAACAAATGCTTCATATAATTTCTTTGGATTGGTGTTACATTTGTTTGATACTTTCTTTTTAACAGTACACCAGAGATTTTCTATTGGGTTTAAATCTAGACTATTTGCTGGCCAGTCTAAAATGGATATACGCTTTTTGCTAAGGAAACATTTGACACTATTGGCTGTGTGTTTAGGGTTATTGCCATGCTGAGAGATCCAAGTTACAGAAAAGGATCATTCAGACAGGGACTCATTGTGTGCTCTAAGATATTTTTGTATTGCCATTGATCCATTGTACCTTAAATTTTCCGAATGGTTCCAACTCCACATCTGGAAAACCACCACTGTGCTTGACTATAGGCCTTGCGTATTTATAATTAAAAGCACTACTACTTACTATCCAGTAGCATATTTTTTAGGGAATAAAAATCTCTTCTACCAGTGTCACTTGGTAAAAAGCAGCCTTTGAAAGGTTCTTCTAAACAATTTAGCTTCCACTTATCTTTTGCATATTAGTCTTGACAAGATGTTTCTCAGTTCATCAGGTGAAAAAAGTTCATTTTTAATCTGGTTGGAGCCTTTAAATGGGTCTTGTTTAGTAACACAAATGATTAGTGTATATTCTCTGGGAGAGGTTTTTCTTGGTCAAGCCTTTCTAAGAACATTTTCAACAGTTCCATGGGTTTTATAATGATCCAAATTTATTTAATATATCTAAATTTAAATGCTCAGCTATTCTTCTTTACACCCACTTATAATCTATATATAAATTAACAATTATTTGCCTAGTTGACGCATCACAACTTTTATTTTTGCCCATTTTGAACATAATAAAATTCAGATTAAATATTGAATTGCTGCCAAAATAATAGAAAAAGCCAAAAAAGAAATGTTATTAAAAAAAGAGCTAAGGATGGTTTTTTAAAATGTTAAAAACATAGACATTAACATATTAAGTGTCCAAGTGGCCAGTAATTTATGCATTCAATGTGTTTTTTATTTGTGTGACTATATTATTACATGATTATTGATTGTGTATATTTTTTATGAACATTTATTTGTATGTTTAAGTTATGCTTTATTTATAAGAAGTGTTTCTAGTTATATGACCACCATTATATGTTGAAAAAGCTTCAATTTTGTTTAATTTCGTTCCATAGTCTATTTTTACTTCAAAAATAATATATTTGTATACTTAGTTTTAACAATTCCTATACACTTAATGTTATACAATTTTCCACAATGGATGGTTAATGATTGATCTCTTCGCAAATCTACTGCTTTTACAAAATGTATTTTCTGTAAAATAAATAAAAAAAATATTAATGTTTACACAACCACATTTTTATAACTAAAGCAATAGCTTTAGTTATAAAAATGTGTGTAAAAATTATTAACATTTGAACACAAATATTTTAATAGTTGTAACTAGTATAGTAGTAGTAACTAAATGTAACAAATATTTGTTAATAAATGAATTAAATATCCTTACTGGCAATGATATCGTCTAGTCGTCTTAAATCATTTATGTCCATCAATGTTAGGTTATTTATAACATTATAAACCAGATTACCGCAAATATGTATAAATATATATATATATATATATATATATATATATATATATATATATATATAAGATATTACCCTAATTTATGTTGTAATTAATGAATTTATTATGTGGTGTATTATAATTGTGTGGTGAGAAGTTTCAATACAAATAAATATTTGTTTTGATTAAGACCTTTCACCGTATTTTACACGGATAAATATATATCTGTATAGCATGGCAGTTTTTTGCCGGAGCACATAACATCAAATTTATGACAAATAATCTTTGGACCAATCACATTTGTTGGGTTTTAAGAGAAAAGGATAAATAAAATGCTTGATATGTATTTCTCTTTTTATCTCATTTTTATCGGTAGGAAAACGTAATTATATAAGAAAGAATTGTAAAACAAAAGAAGATAGAAAATCAATAAAAAAATGTAATAGGTATATTATGAGGGCCAGTAATACGTCAAAGTTATCTGATACCCGTATTAAAATTTTTATTATAGTTCTACCAGGATCTGATGGCAAAAAAGTTTAAAAAATAACAATTTTCATAAAGCAACAAAAAAAAAATGTCAACTGAAATTTCGAGGAATTGTTTTTGGTTTGGCTTCAAATTTCCTTTAAAAATTGGTGAAAATGTCGAAGAAAGCTCTTCGATTGCAAGCAAGAAATATTGTTTCATTTTTTTTTTTGTTTATTAAAGAATACTTGATGAACAAGGTGCAGACAAATCGTCGATATTGAGCCATATGCAAGCGTTGAGGAATGAGTATGGTTAGTAGGAATGACACGTCTTGATATTTTGGTTTAATTTTTCGTGTGTATTATATTATGTATACTAAACTTTAATTTATTTCAAGGGTTACCATAAGACGAATTGTTGCTGAAGGCAGATCTTACAGAGGCATATTTAGTACGCCCGATAAAAAGAGTAAAGGTGGCAAAAAAAATATTCTTGGATAATTTTGATTTAGAATTGATCAGAAACAAGATAAATGAGTTTTACACTGTACGAAAAGAAATACCCACTGTTACTGAACAATTAAACAAACCACCTATACAAGTCGACTGTATTGCTATTATAAAAGAATGGCTTCAATCAAATAATATCCCTTAAGACGATAGTTGGCATAAATGTCAATTACTGGAAGCAGCGAAAATCATAACTCTGAATCTAAATATCAGATATATGAGATTTTAAAATCACACGGCCACGAAGTCTTGAGGCTACCACCATATCATTGTACGTTAAACCCCATAGAATTAATCTGGGGAATAATGAAACAAAAAGTTGCGGGTATAAACGTCAATAGACCTGCAAGTGATGAAAAATCTTAAACAGAAGAAGCTTTCTCTCAAATAGAGATCAATGAATGACAAAAATCTTGTGAATATGTAATAAAAATTGAAAGTCAGTTCATAGAACAAGATCGATTAATTGAGATGCAGGAGGAAAGGTTTATCATAAATACTGTGTCTTCCTCGTCTTTCTCTCCAGATGAAGACTTTTTTATAGATGTGCAGTATTTGGAACCATTTTCAAGTTCTGTTAGCCTATAATTAATTAATAAACTCATGAATAGAGTAATTGGAGTTTTCATCTAAATTTCGAGCCCCACATTCGCCACAGTAAGATTTTGAAAAATTATCCTTGATCATTGGATAAACTTTTATATTTGCATGTATCACACACATACACACACACGCACGCACGCACGCATGCACGCACGCACGCACGCACGCACGCACGCACGCACGCACGCACGAACGCACGCACACACGAAAAAAAATACGAGACATGTCTTATAAAAATCTGACACAGAACCAACTTAAAAATTATACATTGTTCTAAAAGACCTCAGTGTCAACAGCCAGTATTAAAACTCCAACACGCCCTCTTATACCTGGATGTTGAGCAGCAACTGTTTGACCGCTGACTGATTGCCGCAATATTATACAATAGCGTTAATATGCCCCGTCAGCTCGGAGAGTAAGGCACGGCCGTACCGCTTCCAATAATACTACATATATACTCCGCTTCAGTAATCGAGGCCTTTTTTACCACTACCCATAGTTACTAAACAATCACGCGTTATGAAATTATTCATCAGATCACGCCGTTCAGTCACATGATTTGTGGCTCCTAAGTTAATTTACAACGAACTTTCTCTATCCGCACTAGCAGTGTATGTCGACAAAAACACAGTTTCTAGAAAAACTCTTCACTGCGACAATCCTTTTTGAGGTACCTTTTCTGTCTACAATTCTAGCACCACGGTTCCTACTTATAATAAGAAATCTGCTTCGTATTCCTTAACTCACCTTTGTCTCCATACGCGTCACTCGTTCCGGATGTACACGAAGCTGAAGTGCTCTTCTTCCAAAAAAACAAGCACTCATTCGATTCACCGCGAGCTGTCCAACGCTTATCTTGTAATAATTTAGTCTTCACTAAACCAACTAATATTATAATTCCCGAGTGCTCACGTGCCATGATCATGGATTCGTACTCCGATGGTAAACCTTGCAGCATAATTGCCCCAAGAAACTCACCATCGATAGTTTTATTCGTACTTGCTAACTGTAGAGCATCTGTAAGAACCTTAAAAAGAATAAAAAAGGTTGCTGTCAACAAAGCTGTGTCATTCGAAGTGATGATGAAATTCAATGCATAAATCGTCATAATCACTAGATTATGACGATTTATGCATTGAATTTCTTGATTCTGATTTTGTTTATGAATCTGCATAAATATATTGTGTTTAAATAATTACATGTTTTTATTTCCTTTTTATTTCATGTAGTTTTTAGTTAACAAGATAAAGATATAACTATAATAAATAAATATATTCCTTTGAGAATAATGATACAAGTATCAAATGATAAAAGTATTTCGCAGTATTTTCAGTATTACTATCACATATTTTTTTAAATTTGCCGCGGTTTCGAGGGGACACGACTCGCTGGTCAGACTATAGCAGGATGCAGTAATATAACATATATGTATTTGTGATATAAAATAATAAGTGAAAAAAATACGAGACGTCTTATAAAAATCTGTCACAGAACTAAAAAATTATACATTGTTTTAAAAGACCTCAGTGTCAACAGTCAATATTAAAACTCCAACAAAAAAAATTATCAAAAGATTTACTCCAATTTCCCCAGTATTGCTAGCGTCAATTTCTTTTTTCCCTTTTTGTCATCAGATTCTGGTAGACCTAATCGCTTCAGTATTCAGTTTTTAATTAAAAATAACTGGTGTTGTCTTGATCAATGTACGAATACATTACCATTCTTAAAGTCTGAGGTTTTATACTTCTATATTTTTATTATTTACGTTTTTTACCAGAGGGAAACTTTGTACAAAAGTTGTCTGCTTGGGAACTTATGTGCTATTCGTATTACTGCGATAAAGAAGTCGTATTTAAATGGTTTTGGGTTTGCAGGAGGGAATTTGTGGAATATGGCGATAAAATAATAGGGTAGGGTAAAATTATTAATATTCAGGATCGGTAATAGGTACATAAAGACTATCACGGGCGACATAGTATATTTTATTATGTCCATACTACTGTTCATATCTACAGGCGATGGTTATTATAGGTTAGGTGGGCCGTCAGCTTATTTTAAAAAGGTTTAAATGTAATGTCCTACCCTTAACAAAATACGAAATACAAAATACAGAAGCAGGTCTACTCTTTTTATTTAATAAACAACTTATCAAAAGCAGCTCACAATTAGCAAAGATATTATATAATATTAGCGACCCGCCCCGGCTTCGCACGGGTGCAATGCTGATACTAAATATACCTACTTACAGTATGTCCTTATAAACAACATTTACAACTTTTTTGTCATTAGACAATATAAACATGATAAAGTGCTATAGGGCGGAGTGCGGCACGCGCCGCCAGCCGGGCTGGTATCGCCACACCGCTATGTCCCTGCATTTTAAATCTGTAATATCTTCGGAAATATTCATTTAAATTACATTTTGTAAGGGCCATATTGATCTATATTAAATGGACAATGTATTTAAGGTACTTTATTGGATAAAAATTAATGCTATATTGCTTAAAATCACTTTGTAAATAAGCCTTTTTTCCGTAAAATGTAAGGAATAAAAAATGGTTATTGTCGGTTAATCCTTCAGAGATAGATGAACCATCACGGACTTTTTTGTTGACCTTTGAAGTTGAAGGGGTACAATACTGTAGTACAATATTTTGATTTATCTCGCCAGCGTGCGCTTACATTGCAAACGCCAGCCAGCGTTTGCAATGTAAGCGCAAAAAAATGTCTTTATTTACGACATTACATTAGAAATCTGTGCATTACTAATCTATAGACTATATATATATATATATATACATTGACTATATATATATATATATATATATATATATATATATATATATATATATATATATATATATATATATATATATATCTTTTCATAATTGTAAATTATTTATAATATATGTTTTCACAAGTAACTAAAAATGTATGAGTTATATTATATATTATATTTAATAGAAGTTGTAAATGTTTTTCTTAATCATATAACAGATCAAAATTTCAGCTCTGCAAAAGTTATTTGTGATTTTCTGTGAAATTCCATGGCCTAACTAGTATTTCTGCCCTTAATTGTGAAACAACTAACCTTGCATAACTATGTTGTGTTATTGTTTAATGAGTGGAATATGGCAGTGCAGTTATAGTAAATACATAGGCACATACTAATCTCAGAAATGAAAAACATGAGAGGTGCCATTTTCATATATTCTGTAATGCCCATGATGCATGTCTATAGGCAATGGAAAAAGCTTTTAAAGAGCATCAGATTATTGCCATTCTAAGTTACATAAAAAAAATATATATATAGGTATGTCTGATTAATTATGTCACTAATTATTCCTGCTAAATGTCTTAGTACTTGCATAATTGTTAAAGTGTTGAAATGATACAGAGGTAGACTATTCAATTTACTCTACCATTCTCCTTTGTATTTCAAGTTTTATAAAGACTATAATTATATTACTGTTCACCTGCACACTCATGAAGTACCAAATCGATTTTATTTCAAAGCTAAGAAACCATAAAATTAGAAGGAAGATATAGTGAATTAGTCTCATCAAACTATGATTATATTTTTAATCAATATAGTAATATTTTTTATTTATTTCATTATTACATGAACAATAATAAATATCGATAAATTTACTTTATCAGTAGTACCAATCAATATATTCTTTATTCTATATATTAGCCTGCTATGAATTGAGAAAAATAGCAATTGATAGTATATTTTTCATTCTCTTTTTGGTAATTATGTTTACATAAGAGAAAAGGAGATAATTATATGATTTAACTGTTTTTATTTTATGGTTCCTTTTATGTAATTCCTGTTCTTAGGTTTCAGAGGCCTGCACAATATCAAACCACAGGATGTCGCAATTGGCAAGCCAATGCCAAGCCAAGCCCCCTTCAGCCACCGGCGCACGCCAAGCTATACCAAAAGGGGTGCTAAAGCCAAGCTATATATAAGCAAAATATAAATAATGTATTCAGTTCATATTGAGATGAGCCTGGATCTAATGAAAAAAATACTATCACCATATTTGTTGTTTTCACTGCCAAATATAGTCTCTGAATCGGTGAATAGAAATAAAAATACTTTTTAAATTAAAAAAATTTTTATTTCCAATATTTTAATTAAAAGGCACTATTATTAGAAACATTAGGAATTAAGTGTATATGTGTATTTTATTACATTATAAATATTCATGAATGACATGACCAATTTAACAGAACAGTTTCATATATTAGTTTATGTATTTATCCATGCATTATGATATTAATTTATTTCACATATTGCAAATTTAAATAAAACTATAATTGGACATGCATTATAATATTTTATTGCCATTTATCAAATTGTAAAATGATGATATTTAGTTTTTGTTTTTGATATTTAATTTTAAAATCTATGATTTATGTCAATCATATAATATACAATGCTGTGACCCGCAATTTCCACGCGTAAATTAGGACAGCATAAAAAGTGGCGCATGAACTAGGATTATATACATTTCTATATTGTATCTATGACTGTACCTTTAATTTAAAATTGAAAAATTTGTGTTAACTGAGTGCTTTAATTAAATTTACCAACATATTTATCTTAAACAAAAAATTTTTAAGTTTGTTAGAGAAGAATGAAAGCACCATTAAAGAGCATAGCATAAAACACTTAGAGATTCTTAATTAATTATTTTCATCTCTGTACAACATGTTACTTCCTATTATGTCACATAGAAACAATACTATTACCAACAGTTTTCATGAAAATGTTTATTTACAACACTTATACCTATAATTAAGTATATATACTCACATGTATAGTCCACACGTGATAACATAGGTACCCCACTTCATAATTAAATAATAACAAATTCATTTTTACTAATTTTAAATTCTTAAATAAGAATTCTAAAGTAATAAAAAATAAATTAATAAATAATAAAATTTATAAATAGTAATTAATATTCAGATACTACATACCCCTTTTTTTACATTATAATATAAAATTATTCCACAAAGTTATATCACACTAAATTGTTACACTTATCACAGCATGCGTGTTTTTTTACAACATATTCTAATTTAAATTATTTTTCAGGCAACTGTTTTTCTATCCACTCTTTAACAATGGTCATCCCTCGCCTATTAATTGAATGCCCCAATCTCTCCATGGCATAGAACTCTCCCTGCACTCCCAGTTCTTTGAGTCGATTAAAGGTAGTTTGGCCCCAATTGAAAGGAACCAAATAATCAGACTCACCATGTATTTGGAGTAGAGGCGGTACTGCAAAAAAATTGTTTTATAAATAAATAATATAGCTTAAGCATTACAACTGTGCAAAACTATTAACTACACAGTTATTAATAACTAACACTTGCAGAAGATTTTGCAATAGTAAAAACTATGCAACTTTGAAAGGTTCATAACTTACATTGAAATGTTACAAATTTGCCACTAGTGTCAATTGAAAGTCTGATAAACAAATTTTTATTTGAGATTATATGTAATGTGATCTGAGATAGGGGGCACTTAAATCACTTTTCAAAATATTCAATTAAGACAAATTGATATAGTAATAACTTTTAAAGTTTAATCTGATTTTAATCAGTTACAGCTTCCTTCAAAGTGATTAATATCATCTTTGATACATACTATGTTTACACATATCTACAATATTTTATTTATGTTACTTTTATTCCCCTAAAAAATACTCCTTTGACCCTACCTTCCGAGGTGTATTTTTTTTTCTAAGTCACATACATAATCAAAGCATAATTAGTAGAATATCAGACAGATCACTGGTATATAATAATAACTAAATACATACCTGACATTCTAACATCATTCTGGAGTTCTTGGTATACAGTAGAATAATGATTCAAAAAAGAACTCATTACAAAGACACCAGCTAAATTAGTATCCCATTTAAATGCAGTGTGGTATGATAGTGATCCACCCATTGAGAAACCACCTGCAAGAAGAAACACAAATAACATGAACTAAAAGTTGTAAAAAAAAAGAAGTTTCATCTTAAATACCTCAGTTTGAAGACTAAGGTCTTTTACCAGTGCCTGTTTCCAGTGATGACTTATGGAACTGAAACATTGTCCTACACGTTTGCCCATATGCAAAAGCTTCGAATTACTCAGTGGACTATGAAGAAGGTTATGCACAAAGTTTCTTTAGATAATGGAATTCAAAATGAGGGTATCCACAAAAGAACCAAAGTAACCCACATAGCCCAAAGGATAAGCAAGCTGAAGTGGCAATGGGCAGGTTATGTAGCTTTAAGAATCAATAACTGATGGAAGAAAGGTTCTTGAGTGGCAACCCCATATGGGTAAAAACAGTGTAAGATGACCCTCACTAAATGGAATGACAACCTCAAATGCACTGCAGGGAGTCAGTAGATGTGGGTGGCTCAGAACTGTTTCTTATGGCAGTCTATGGGGGAGGCCTATGTCCAGTAGTGATCAGATAATGGCTGGAATGATGATAATGATGATATTAACATACCAACAATTATTCTGCTGCTTGGTATTCCAACATCATTTTCATTCTTTATTAAACGTTTTACTTCAGTCTCAATTTCAGCAATTGATTCAATCTTTTCAGGGACCATTGGTGATATATCAAACCGGTCAAACCAAACATTGCTCTTTTCACCATTACATGGAGTATAAGGTTGCAGTGGAGCCGTTGGATACAAAACTTTGATATAGGGAAATGAGAAGTTTTTATGCATAATGCGGACCCATTCTTTCATATTAGCACCTGATGACCCTGTAATAGGAGTACGAAATCTAATAATATATTCATAGAAACTAGATATTAATAAATAAAAAATTAACTGCTAGTTAGAGTTGAGAGCTGTTAGAGAAAAATAGAGGGTAGTTTTGAAATAAATGATCTCGAAAAATATGAATTCCGAATAACACTGAAACAAGCCGAAATTCGCTTTTTATTCTGAAATCTTGTATCAGTCAAACATTTTTCAGATGATTATAATAATAATCGAAAAAAGAAATAAAAAATATAAACTTTTTTTGAAGAAATCGGCTATTTTAAAAATTAGGTAGGTAGTACTATAATATTAAACATACCTGATCCATGAAAAAAAATTACAGTTGCGCTGTGACCGGGACCGGTTGGTTTTGTAAAATGTAAAGAACCTAGTTTCGACATAGTATGTTTATTTAAAAAAAAGGATAAAATATTTTATTCAAATTAAAATATTTTATTTGAAAATTTTATTTTTATCAATATAATAAGAAAAACAAAAAGAAACACAATCAACTAAAGAGTTATCGAAAATTTGTTTTTTGGCTTAGATTGATCAGAGTATATAAGCGGTAGAAATTGATCGACTAGAGCGGGGTAGTGATGGGATTCGAGTTGCTTTTCACTCGAGTGACTCGAGTAGTTTTTATATTACATGCACTCGAGTTAAATTTTTGACGACTCGAGTTTCGAGTGACTCGCGTCGACTCAAATTACGAGTGACTCGAGTTGACTCGTACCACTCGAGTGGTTTATACCGAACTGAGTGAGAAATTCAAATTGTGACAAGTTTACCCGCGGTAGCAGGAAACTTTTAAGAGAGAAAATTCTTCCTGATGCTTATCATGCCGCACGCACTATAATTGTAGATATTCTACATTTAGTTGAATATACGGCTGCTACAACAGATTTATGGACTTCTGACAATAATAAAGCATACCTAACTATTACAATACTTATCATTCAAAACTTTTTTCGCAAACTGTTACTACTAAAGAGGTTACGGAGAAATATTCTTCTATTATTTTAGCAAGTGTGCTGAAGTCGATATTATCGAAGCCGTTTGGTAGGGAAAAAATTGATCAATTTATTTTTTTAAAGTAGTTATTACACCAATTTCAGTTAAATTTGTTATCTCATTAAAGATACATTATTTTTGTTTTTTTTTTTTTTTGTTGAGTTTATTTAAGTTTTATTTAAGTTAATTTTAAAACACGTATATTATTACATAAATTGTGTAAGAACATAATAAAACTGTTTATATTTGGATCTCATGAAAGTTCCTTGTTAGAATAAATTAAATTGGATTAGAACTTATTAGTAGTAGATTATGGTATAATATTTTAATTTGACTGATAGTTGATATAAGAGGTTTCTTGATTATGTACGACAGGTTTAGTTTGAAGGAAAATTCTATTTTTTACATTTTGTTTAGATTTTTTTTTTGAGAAAATGAATACACATTTTCTATGTAAAATTAATACTGTTTTATTCGTTTTAAAATTTTGGTCACTCGAGTTTTATATTCCGAGTGACTCGAGTCAATAAAAATCACTCGAGTTTTATCTTCACTCGAGTGGCATTCGAGTGAGTAAATTATCAGTACCGAGTGACTCGAGTGAAAAAAAATCACTCGAGTCTCATCACTAGAGCGGTTGTAGTGTTGCCAGATAAAAAGGACAGAAAATCGCCATAAACTCGACACTAAGAGCGTAAAATCGCCTAAATATTTTTATTACAATGTAGCCTAAAATCGCTTCAATCTACCCTACCCTGCGTTCCGTACATGCCTTTAACTAATTTAAGATTGTGTTCCAGAAAAAATCGACTTCAATTTCGCTGAATTAGTTATTTTAATTTCAAACCTAAACTACTAAATCAGTTTTCATGAAACTATGTCATCTATCTAAAAGTATATCATTTCTCATAAAAAATAATTAACCAAACCGATTTATGTCTGACAAAGTTATGAGGTAACAAGCATAAAAAAAATACAACTGAAAAACTAAGTTTGTTTTTGGAGGTAATTCGATAATTTCTTTAATACTGTGCTAGTTAGAAAAATAGTTTTATTTTGCAATGTTATTCACATACATTTTTGCAAATTGTAATTATATCAATAGCTATCACATTGCTAGCAATAGCGCAGACGAGGCTGCTATCATTGGCATATTTATAATTATATTCTAGGGAATTAGTTCTTTAAAAAAGACGCATACCTATGTACGTTTTTCGAAGCTTTACTTGCATCCTGGGTTAGGCATCAAACAACGCTAAGATGGACATAGCCCATCCAGTTCCCTTTCTAATTGCACCTACGGTTACCTTTTATTATCATCCGTTAAAAAATGTCAAATTAGATAAATTTGCTACATGTTGTTAAAAAATTAAAACTCGTGAATGGTACGTATAATTCGCTAAACGTTTTGAAAATCTGTAAGTCTGAATGTCTGTTTTCTGCTAAGGTTCTATTAAAACTACATAAAAAATTGTCAAAAATAATTAACTATAAACATTCTTTGTAGCCTAAAATCGCTTCTAATAATTATTAAGATAGCCTAAAAAGCACAAATTGTCCAACCTGGCAACACTGGGTGGATAGGAAGCGATAATACAGGTCTGTCATATTTGATTGTTTGGATTTGGATACTAGTCCTTTAGCCACAGGTTTTTATTCTTTTGTTTTTTTTGAGTTGGCAACCACATTTATCTTTTGCTTCACGAAATTTTGAAACGTTGCAATTTTGCGTAAATTTTCAAAAACAATTTAATAATTTTCTATGATTATGATTGATTATTCAAAAAGTTCTTAGCTAGTAAACCAAATCATTAATCGTAGAATACATTGCATATATAATCCACTACTTAAAACTTTGCGCTAACTTTAAATCTTATTTTGAAATTTATAAAATACGTTATTACTATTAAAATTAAAATTTTTAGTGACAGTTAATAAAATATTATTGCTTGAATAACGTTTTAGTTCGCTATCAAAGCACTTTTTAAATAATCGACTAGAAATATTGAAAAAAGTATGATTATGTTTTAAAATAGGTTAATGTTGACGATGTATACTTAGATATGAACGCTTTTAACTCTTAAAAAAATTATCTTACTAATTTTGAATGTTGATATATAAAGAGCATAAGTAACAGATTTTGTTGTTGTGATAAATTTGATTTCGTAGGAAGAGTGTTTATTATATAAATATTAACCACTGTCATAGACTATCTTTATTTTAAAATATTTACTTGTTCAAAATTTCTGATCCAAATGACATATTCTATCTTTAAAAGTTATTTTTTAAAAAACAATAAATCGTAATATCTTGATAATACCATACATTGCAATATTAATTGACCTTTTACCCCCTATTTCTTGTCCGCTGTGCAACAGCAGGTGTATTAGTAATTTATCCTTTTCAATAAATGCGTCCTGACCAAGAGATTTTATGACCTTGAAAATGCCCACGTTAAATAAAATGAAATTTACCGTTCGTAAACAAAATGTCCACAGCCTGCACAAGCTTTAACGTAAACAAGTTGTAGTATAAAGCTTTGAGTGGAATATATCTATTTATTATGATAACAATTTTTAAATTATTGTATAAAATATATTGAATATAAAAACAGCGTCATACTTTCGTGATATAAAATTCAAACTAGGCTTAACTAACAATTTCTGGTTAGATATTCAATTAGCAGTCCGTGGTTTTTACAACGTCCATGACAATATTAGAACCTTTCTTTCGCTTCTATGACTAGATTAGCGTTTTTATATCATTATATAATATAAAAGTCAATATTTTTAAATTTCGTAATGAAAATTTATTAAAAACAAAAATAGTTAATTTGTAATTATAAAATAATAATAATATAATAATGGACCAAAACAATAAGACACGTACAAAAACTTTTGCAGGAACAGAATATCGTTAGAAATAGTCACGTATTTGTTTATTGTATAAAAAATAATGTAATAATTTAGGTTTTCTATTATGCTTGTTAATTTTCTTATAACTAGAACTAACTTGGGTGTTAAACGTTTTTTTATCGAAAGTTTCAGGTGTGTCTAATAGTCCTATTGATTTATTTAATAACATTATTTCCTGTTGTGTTATTAAATAAATTTGTTTTTAAAATTGTCCAGAGCTTAATTTCTTCAATTTTTGTGATGGTTTCCAATTAAATTTATGATTATTTATTACATTGTTTTTTAGTCTTTGATTATGAGTATCGAGTATTGCTTCTATGCCACCTCCGATTTTATATTCATTAGGTGCAGGTGTTATAGTTTTATATGAAAAAAAACGTGATTCTCTATTTAGGGAACCATAACATACAGTTGGTAAACATTTAGGCCGTTCTAAACTATAGTCACAAGGGCCAGGAGTCTGCTCTCGATTAAACATCGGCATCCAATCGTACCAAGGCTGAAATCGACCTTCTGAAGTAAAAAATGGTGCATTATATTGAGATTGCGGGAGTCGTTCCACTTTATTTTTTAACTGAGGGAGGTCAGCTGGACTTGGTTCATTAATTTTCTTTATTAGTGGTTTCATTCTTATTGTTTTTGATTTAAATCCCCAAGTGAGATTACCAGACGGACTTTTTTTTGTTTCGTCAGTGTTTTCTTGTTTATCGTCTATTACTTTATCATTATCTTCTCTTAGTAAGTTTTCTTTAAATCTCATTGACGATGATTGAAATGGTGCTTTGGAACAGTGTGTAAAGTAATAATGTTTAAAACTGATATTATAACTAGCAGGGCTTGGTCCCTCTTCTCGACGAGTCTTAAATCTTTGACTTTTAATACCAAAGCAATTAGATCCAGATAACTTAGCGTGACATTGTATTTTTGGGTAATCTGGTGGATCAAATGTTCTCTTTATGATATACTCAGCTGGCCCAGGGTGTTTGTCGTTTTTGAACATTGGAAACCTTTCTGCTTTGGGAACAGAAAATTTGATTTTAGCACCGTTTGAAAAATTTGGACTGTATGTAGCTGGACTAGGACGTCTTTCTGATATATTTCTTTGTTGAAGCGTTTCAATAAAACGCAACTGTTTAGATGTTTTACGTTTATATGCTCGTACTCTTTCGTCACATATCTCTTCTTCAGTTGGGTCGCGTTGTAAACAGTAATCTGCAGGACCCGGTCTTATTTTATTATATTTTATTGACCGCTTAGAACTCCACTTACTCCATTTCCACCCATGATAAAAAGCTGTAGATTCGTTAACTCTAGCGTCATAAAATGGCGGAGTTTTGTCATCAATCTCATTTCTTATACGTTTTTGAGTACCGTTTACTGATATTTTAAATCCATTATCTTTTTTAGAAGGAATTGACAGACCATCTTCTCCCAATACCGATCTTGGTGGCGTTCTATTATATAAACACTCGTGCACTTTTGCTCGGCGTCCATTTTCTTCAGTTTTCTTATTGTCAAATGAACATCTACAGATACTTTCTTTACCACACTGACAAATATTTTTTTCGAAATCTACTATATCGAAACTTTTGTATGGAAATGGAGGTATTTTAGATTTTTGAAAGTTTGAAATTTTTGGATGCAGATCTGCATCATACATAGAATGAGTCCCTATTTGTATATCAGCTCGCGTATTACGAGGACTTTTAGTTGGAAATGAAATTTTATTCAAGTTTATGTTATGTTTATCGTCTGTTTGATATGCTCCTGGATCGAGTAATCTGTAGTACTTCGGTGTGAGTAAAAATCTTTGTCCAATACTAAATGCCATTATTATAAGTTATAAAAAGGAAAATAATATTTATTAAGAAATTTAAAAATGCATCAAAATGTCTAAAGCTTATGATATATTGACATTGTTTTTCACTATTATTTTATTTTCAATACTATTTTACTCTATGGTTTTGGCAATATTATATTATTAGGTCCTTACATATAAAATTGGCGTTTTGTACGGAAGGCATATAAAGTCTTTTTTTTGTAAAATATATTTAATTATTAAAGTATGCACCGTTATGATCTATGCACTTTTGCCATCTTATAGGTAGTTCGGGTGAGAATCAATAAATTCTTTGAAGGCGGTTTGGACTGCCGCATCGGAGTGGAATTTTTTCCTTGTAAGAAGTTGTCCATATTCCAGAAAAAAATATAATCTGTTGGAGCAAGGTTTGCGGAGTACGGTGGATGTCGCAGACATTTCAATTGTAGTTCATCTGAAATAATGGTTGTTTGTTGTGTAGTGTGTGGTCTTGCGTTGTCGTGAAGTAGCAGTGGCCTAGAGCGATTGACCAATTACGGTTGTTTAGCAGTTAGTTCTTCTTTCATGGTTTGCAGTTGCTGACAATAGATATCTGCCGTAAGTTTTTGGTCAGATTTTAGAAAGCTGTAGTGAATGACACCAGCGCTAGTCCACTAAACACTCACAAGTAACTTTTTCTCAGTCATTTCGTTTAGGGCAGGATTTGGCTGGGATCAGCCATTGCGACGAGAACTTCCGATTATCCTACAATATCTATTTTTCATTACAAGTAATGATTCGATTTAAAATCTCTTCATTATTGTGTAGGTTGAGAAAGTAACACAGCAGTCGACATTTATTTGCAATTTCGATTCACTCATTTTATGAGGTACCCATCATTCAAGATTTTTTACTTTCCCGATTTGCTTCAAGTGGATTAATACAGTTTTATCACTTACCCCGAAGCCTGCAGCTATCTCTGAAGTGCTTTGTGGTGGATCCGCTTCAACAATAGCTTTTAATTCTTCATTTTCCACTTTGGTCTCCGGCTGTCCACGGGATTGGTTCTGAAGCTTGAAATTTCCAGAACCAAAAGGGTAAAACCAAAAACGTATCGTGCTTTCTTTTGCGACACTAGCGCCGTACACATCATTATTCCTTCAAGCTGTTTCTGCAGCACTGGTACTACGGTAGAACTCGTAAATATACCAATATTTCATGTTTTCCATTGTGCGGTAATAAGCAACGCCAAAGAAAAAAATTAAAAGGAAAAATCAAATGAATGACTGTTTTCAAAACTCAAATGTACCAGCTAAATGAATTTATAAATTTGAATTTGAAATTCTTAACCAAAGTGGAGATATTTCAGATTAAAGTGGTCAGTACGACAAAATGCTAATTTCATATGTAAGGATCTAATATTTATCTGCCACAATTTGCAATTTTCCACCGCATAATAACATTTCTGTTTTGCCAAAAGTTGACTGTGAACGAATGCTATATAGTAATAAATCCGTCTTTTGTACCAAACATTCTTTTTAATGTGATCAATAAGGAATAAATAAATAATTTATTCAAGTGTTTTTAATTTACATTTGTTTTGTACTATATTAGAAAAAAAGTTAAGGAATAAAAGAGTTATCGATATAACGTAGTCATTCGATCAAGTCTGGCATAATGGTCTTTTGTCGAAATTTCCTTCATACGGACTCTCTGAGTGCCCCAACGTTGTTTTTCGCGGTCGACATTCATCGTTATGAGGATGACAGTATTTTGTGTGTTTTATCGCTTGTATACCTTGTACACCTTCATTTGAATAACAAGTAACTTTCATGCAAAATATATATGAAAAAGGTGATCACTTCACTCTTACATAGGCGTCATGGGTCACGAATTATTAGCTACGTATTTTATATAAAAAATATGTAATGAAACTTTTTAATTCATATTCGTCTGGCAACACTAATGAAAACATGTTATAAAATATGAGATAGCAAATAGACTAGTATCTAAACTAAAACTCAAATATTAAAAACATAAAGTGGAACACAGAGTACTATTTACACACATATATTATTAAAAAAATAATAGAAAATGTTATGTGTAGTCTGTACATTTCAGACCATCATAGTTTCTGAATTTAGTATGAATTTTCTGTAATATTTTGTGTAGTTACCTATTAAATTATATATTTAATATAATTATTGAAATTTATGAAATTGTAGACATTAGTATCCTCTTTTATTCCTTATTTTTGTTGCAATAATGCCTGTTATTTGTTTAAAGAGGTCGAAATTAAATTCTATGTTTTATCAACAAAAACTTTAATGTTTCCTCGGTCTCTTCATGTTTATTTCTTAGCAACTATTTAATATGAAGGTGATTTATATAAATCTTTTTGTAATAATTGTATTTAGTATTTTATCAGTTTTTGCCAATGATGATAATTTACATATGGATACATCATGTAATACAACCGATTCTGCTCGTGTCGAATACAAATATAACACTGATGTGGTAGGCAGTGAACATATTATTACATATAAAGGATATTTTTCAAGGTCTACGAGGGAAAATTATGTTACAGCGGCTTTAAAAAATGCTGGGGTGAGTTATGGATCTGTAAAAATAACTTTAATAAATAATTACATTTTACTTGTATCCAAATGTTATTATTTATCTTAGTCAGTTGGCACCCTTAGGGGTGGTCTTTTATTCAAGACCTCCATGTTGGTGAGTTTTATAATTTAATAATTTTTTGAATAATATAATAATAATAATATAATTTATTTGCTGAAAAACACGGTATACAGATGTTAGCAATAATATGTTAGGAACAGGCGTGTTTTGCCAAAACAATGGCATGCAAAATTTTAATATTTATGGTAACTTCTTTTCTACTAAATACTACTACTACTAATACTATTAACAAAATATTATTTATGTGCTTATAAAGTAGAATTATTCTTAAGTCCAACAAGTCCTTAATTGAGTAATAACATTTGTCCAAAAGCCATTTGTACAGTGTGTTCTTAAATTTTGTCAGTGTTTTTATATTTATAATATCTTCGGGTATATTATTAAAAATTCTTATACACATATTATAACAATTTTTTTGATAAATCGTAGTCTTAGGAATTCTGTTTAATACTAGTCTATTTGGATTTCTTCTATTTCGCGGATAATGTTCTTTGGCAGTAATAAAGCTGTTTATATTTTTCTTAACAAATACAGCTGCTTCATAAATATACATGCAAGCTAGTGGAAGTATTTTATATTTTTTAAATAGTATTTTCTATGTTTTAAAATAAATATAATAATACTTTTATATTTATACATATACATACATACATACATATTTGTCACGCCTATATATATTATTATATATATTATTATATCCATTAAGATAAGAGTGGAATAAGTCCAGCTTTTAATATTATATATTGCTAGATTATAAGACACAATATTTGTTCTTTTTATAAATAATTTTACTAATATTATAAATGTGAAAGTGTAAATATATTTGAATATTTACTCAGTTTTTGTGTTGTTACACAATCATGTTTACACAGCTAAACAAATTGGAATGAAAATTGTTATGATTGTTATATACAGCTGTCAATATCACCAATTTCTGTTATTATAAATAAAAAACAGTTGCCGAATATATGTAAGTGCATCACTTTAGAATGGCTGCATGTGTTTGGATAATTAATTTTTTAAGTGTCCCGATTTCAACAAATTTATAATTTATAAGTAAAATACTTTCTGTCTAATTACAAATGAATTATTTCAATTATTTTTAATTTGTATATTTGGCAATTGTGAACTGGTATTTATGATTCTTTTTTTTTCAGAAGTATTTGCTTTACTATTCTATACAATATATTCTATATTAATTAAGTCAAGAATTTGGTTTTGTCGAAATCTGAAATGCTATAAATTGATGATAATACTATAAACTATTAGTAAACATACCATCAAAATAAAACATATACCAAGATATAAGTTAAACCTTTAGGAACACAATTCTGAAAACCATATTCAATTTGGTGCAGTAGCTTTTGTGTGATGACAGACCATATGCACAATGTATTTTTTAGTAATTATTGTTATGGCTTTTATTGCTCATACTAAGGCCCTTTATATTTATATTTCTTAGATATCTCCTATGGACAGATACAACTTGGTTATTAGACATAGGTAATATTAGTATTGCTATGATGTCTACATATTGGCTCCTCTGGATATTGATTGAAAAAGGATATAATCCATTTCAATATTGTCCATACTGGTCCAATAAGTATATTAATTACATTTGGATTTTTCATTTCAACATTATATATTGGATATTTCATATGTCCATTATAGGGACAATATATAGATATTATAACTACTATATATAGCTATACTTATATTACTCCTACTGATTGCAGTTTTATTGTATTTATTAATTTAACTGACTAGTTGTACTTTACAATTTCCCAATATGCTTATCTGGGTAGCAATTACTAAAATAAAAAAAAAATATTAGGATGCTTTCATGTTAATCTCCATAACAGCTCATATATTTTAAAATATGTATATATTGTTTGCTTCCATTTAAGAGTTTTTTTTATTGATAAGAAAAGAGACTAGATGATGATAGGTGCCAAAAAAAAAATGTTTACTGGATCAACTGGTATATACATAATACACAATTAATAAAATTTTTAATCTATACTGATATTATGAACAGGAACAAAATTTGATTGTTTGTTTGTAATGGATAAACTACTCATTTTAATAATTCGCTCATCTATAAAAAGCTACATTATCAATGAGTAACATAGGCTGTATATATTTTTTAAATACCCTATGAAAATTAATATAACGGAATCCAAGGTGTCGAAAATTTGTCTATTAAAATTAATATAAATACTAATTTACCTATCTTTGTATTTATCTATCGGTACAAAGCCAGAGTGTACTACTACTGTACCTGCTGCTTTGCATAAATGAGCTTTGCGAATCTAATACGGGTTCTATTCCTGTTTAAACAAATATAGGAAACTAACATTTCTGAATTGACTTGCGTCTGGGTGTTCTGCTTTGTGCCCACAGATCTTTGTTTTATAGTTTCTCATAACATAGTGTGGATACTTTGTATAATGCGAAACCATGCAACAAAACTAGGATAGCTTGAGGCGATTTATGTGATTGTGTAGTACTTTAATATAATATAAATAATAAAATTAATTAGAGATCAGGAACTACATATAAATTTGTATGAAAAACAATTATTAAGTAGTTAAAATTATTAAGGCTTGCACTTACTTTTATTGCAAATTTTTATTCATTTTAATGCTTCCTATTTCATTCATATTTACACAATTTTCTATTTTGTTTCTGTTAGGTGTCAAATTGGACATTATTGCAGCGAAATAATCCCGCCAAGGAGTATCCAAGTGACTTCGACGTTATCGTGTTAGACGAGGATGGAAGGCGTGCACTTGACGCATTACGGGACCACCCAGCCATACGACGTGTCACTGTCCAGAGGCAGGTTCAACGAACCATAAAATATATCAAAGAGGTAAAGCTACTATAAAAAATGTCATTGGACATATTATTCAGCGCCAACTGGGCCCAAAAGCAAAGCTTTATAGTACATATGCATACTAGACAATTAGTAGAAGTACTTAAATATATTTTTTAAATATATGCACAGATCTACTCGTGAATACTAATGTTTGTATTTGTTTAAATGTAATAGTAATCCTGCCGCCGCTATCAGTATACATTGGCGGGGTACCTATGAGAGATGATAGATGAGGATGAAGCAGGTCAGTTGGCCTATTGTACAAATATGACAATTATTAGTTATGATGGTTTCCAGGTGGAACCGCGTGGAGGTTGACTTGATTGGGGTATATTGCTTGCAATGGAGCCATTAGGTCCCCATTGCTAACAATCCCTTTCCCCTAGTTTATTAGAGTTGTAAGCTTTTAATTGTTCATAATTTATTTTCATAATTTGTATGTATAATACACATTTGTTAATAATAACAGTTAATATAACTTAATTCAATTTTTGTTTTGCATCATCAGGACGACTGTGGACCTGCTGGCTGTTTATACACGGGTTGGCGTAATCATCGGGCCCGTGCACTGCACTCGCTTAGAAAACCACGTGAGGTATGATGAAATAAAAAAGTATGATGGTTTTATCGAAAAAATAATACAATATAAATAAATTTTATTTATCTAAAGTTTTTAAGACGCTTTTATATTCGTATTTAAGTGATGTACATATGTACAACAATATGAAATTTAAATTTATAATTTTATTTTGTTAGCATGTGAAATTGTGTGTTATGTTATGTTAGATTGTGAATTACTTTCATTATATTAGGTACTGATTGACAATCAAATATCTACAAGTATCTAACAGTCGATACCAGCAAATTATTTCATCCTTACTAATATTATAAATGAAATAGTGAGTTTATATGTTTGTTATCTTATAGTGACTTAACGGTTGAACTAATTTAAAGAAAAATATAGGCTACTTTTTGTTCTGGTCCCTAAAAAATGTTGCGGGTAAAGGCTAGTATTCTAAATTTAGTATTAAATATTATAGATCGAGTAGTATTCACAGATTTAGAAAAATCCGAGCCACTTTCCAAACAATTTTGTCTTACAGGACGACTAGTTCATTGACGATTAGCTAGAATTATTTTAAAAATACATTTAATTACTTGCAATGCCTTTGGTGTTGTGGGAGATCATGGGTGGCAGTATTCACTTACTATCAGTTGAGCCGCATGATTATTTGCCCCCTTGGTTGTAAAAAACAATTAAATGTATATTATAGAATTTGTAAATTTAAATAACGCTTTTAGTTAATAAATATATTTTTTCTAATTTTATTACAGAACAATGGTTATGCGTCTCGGAAGTTACTCAGAACAGTGCCTCGCCAGATAACGTCTGTATTAAAAGCAGATGTACTATGGTCTCTGGGTATCACAGGTATCACCTTTCTTATATCTGGTAAAAGTTTATGTTCATACTTTTATCTATATAGGTTGCCTTGGATATTTGATTACAAAGTTTTGTTTTAGATACGTTTTTTTAACAGGCCAAGTGTCTGTACATATTCCTTTAACATGCCCATCGTAACCAATGATTGTAATTGCAAATAGGTACACCTGCTACCATTGTTCTTTTTAAAACGTCACCAAAGCCTAACTACGGTTGGCAAATGGCCTGCCAAGCCTGGTAACTACTGGAAAAACTGCCTTTATGAGAGAGGCCTATATTCAGCAATGGACAGTTAAAGGTTGATGTGATGATTTGATAATAACTGTTACCATAAATGACTAAATATCATCATCATTAAGTATGATTTTGTTTTTAATGGGAGAGAATATATATATATATATATATATATATATATATATATATATAGTACTCACTTACATAGGGGCAACAGTGAGGGATGATACGTGATCATGAGTGATGGGAGGATAACAGCAGGCCAGTCAGCCTATCGAGATAAATTAAACTCGATGGTTTCCAAGAAGGACCGCGAGGAATCAACGTGTAGGGTATTTTGCTAGCAATGGAGCTACTAATTCTCATTAGTAACAATTTCCGTTCGGTTTGATTAGTACTTATTAATAAATAATATAAGAAAATGAAGTGATTTCATTGCAGGTGAAGGCGTGAGAGTGGCAGTGTTTGACACAGGTCTGGCTCGACACCATCCTCATTTTGGTCGAGTGCGTGAGCGTACTGACTGGACTGGAGAAAATACTCTGGACGATGCTCTTGGTCACGGCACCTTCGTTGCTGGTGTCATAGCCTCACGAGCCGACTGTTTAGGATTCGCGCCCGATGCCGATTTGCATATATTTCGTGTCTTTACAGATAATCAGGTGAGGATTGTTAATAACGAAAAATTAAATAGCAAAAATTTACTAGCAACGCCAACTATTTAATTCATGATACACAGGAATTAAAGTGGTTTCCTTGAATAGAACGTAATGGAAATATAACATATATCCTTTTTTTCTTAAATATTATGTGAATGCTAAATTTTGGGACAATTAATTAATTTATTTATTGGAAAACCAACAGTTTACAAATACAATTAAGCTATAAAACAACAGCAATTTATCTACATAAAAAGCCAATAACAGGATTTCAGTAACTTAGCAATATAAATGTGTCGTGCTAGGAGTATTTTTTTTTATTAGTTTTTGATTGGTTGATATCAAAAGATATAATATTAACACACTGATTGTCATATTAACCTTACTAACCGGTTTAGTTTTGTTACAGTATTACGCATGTATTGTTTTGTCATAGTAGCCTCTTCTAAATGAAAGCCTTTGCAAAATAACTACAACGAAAAAATTTAACCATAGACAATACGTATTGTTGTGGTCTCAATAGACAAGATGGCAAAATCTTTAATTGCTATATTTTTGTATCAATCAATATCTGTATTAAAATAGACTACTAAAGTATTATTTATTTATGTATTAAGTATGTGAAATACTTTTTAAGATTAAGGTATGATGGGGCTGACATATCCTTATAGGATAAAAGCCTCTAAGTAAAAGTGTCTTATGTTCTAAATTACTTTATCGCATATTTGCATGTAATAGCGTTAACATTTTTTATTATATTTACTATAAAATGGACAGAGAACTTATCCATATATATATAAATTAATGCCACTTTTTGTTGTAATTTTATAACTCAAGAATGGGCTCACCTATCCAAAACAAATGTTTAGGCTTTGTTTGGACTATTTAGTAGATGGGTCGATCGGTCGAGCGGCTCTTCATTTATTACATTTTTTGTAACAAATGCATTCAATAAATGGCGGATTATTTTGTTAATGGGGATTTTTGTGTCAAATTCAAACTTTTTTTTAAGGTGGAGATTGTGCTGTCAAATTGAAACCTTTTTTAGTATTGACAGTACAAACATGTTCTTATGCCATTCATGCGGTCATTTCATTTTGGACATGCTTCGATTAAAGCAAAAATTTAATGTTGCCTGTTCCAGAGTCGGTACCTCCCCACCAGTTTGTTTATTCATGCTCAAAATGGAAAAACAAAAAATATTGTTTATCCAAATGTTTTGTATTAAGTTATAAAATAGCTAGCAATTAATAAAATATTTTTTTGTTTAAATAAATGAATTTGATGTTAATTTTTTTATTATTTCACTTTATACGTAGCGAAGCACGTACCGGGCCGCTAGTAACATATAAAAAAGAATGCAATTTTGTTTGCAGGTGTCATATACGTCGTGGTTCCTGGATGCCTTTAATTATGCGATAATGCGTAAGATTGATGTGCTGAATCTCAGTATAGGGGGTCCTGATTTCATGGACCATCCATTCGTCGATAAGGTCTGGGAACTTAGTGCTAATAAGGTATTTATTGATACTGTTTTCACTGATTATATTTTATTATTCTAATAAAGTTATATTGTCTTAGTTTTATTTATATTACAGTAAATTAAATTACAAATAATTAATAATTCTATATTTATAACTTACATATACTGAAATAAAAGTTTTTTTTTTTATATTATTTATTCCATATTTTGAATGGATTTTAATTAAGCTGGATTTAGAATGTATTTACCAGAGATAATTTTAGAAACAACAATTTTTTTTAAAAACTCTTTTATTTATTGTATTATTTTATCCAGGTCATAATGGTGTCGGCGATAGGAAATGACGGACCTTTATATGGAACTCTTAACAACCCAGCGGATCAGATGGACGTCATCGGTGTTGGTGGTATTGGGTTCGACGATCGTATCGCCAAATTCTCGTCTCGCGGAATGACCACGTGGGAATTGCCACATGTGTGTACTGTATTTATTTTATTCCACGAATTATATTGCATAAAATTTATTTTTCTGGATTATTAAATTTAAATCATAAATATTGTAAGTAGAAAATACTCATATCTGTACAAAAAGGCATACTCATGAATGGAAACATTTGTATTTTTAGGGAATTGATCCTGCTATTTATAATTTTGTTGTCTAATAGTACAGCTGTTTGGTCTTTTTTTTCTTTTTTTTTATACAACAAAAAAATAATCTTATGTGATATTATGTCCAATTAATTCTTAGTAAGACTTTAATGATTTAATATTATTTTTTAGGGTTATGGCCGAATGAAACCTGATATAGTAACCTATGGTAGTGGAGTCCAGGGATCAAGTGTCACCGGTGGATGTCGGTCATTAAGTGGTATGTTTAAATAACCAGTTCTAAGACAAAGTAAAGTTTTAAACTATAATTTACTACAGCTATGAATCTGTGTCCATTTAGATTCGTGTTATTTTCCAAATCTATATAAAACCTTTACTCTGTAAGCAGCACTTTCGTGATCTTAGTTTTATGTGGTGTTTATATAATGAAAGTTGCATGACGTTTCATTGAGAATTCTGCTAGTGTTGAATGAGCCTGACTAAACTATTTACTAGTTAAATAATAATTGGTTATTATTATTACCAATATAGGTACATCTGTGGCTTCCCCAGTAGTGGCTGGTGCTATAGCGTTGCTAGCAAGCGGCGTGCCACGGAATCACTTAACGCCGGCGTCTGTAAAGCAGGCGCTATGTATCACGGCGCGGCGATTAACTGGCTATAACATGTTCGAACAGGGACATGGAAAATTGGATCTTATTAGCGCTTATCAGGTTGTAATTTTATCTCTTTTAGTTTATAAATGTAGATAAGACTTTGATTTCATAAAACTATAAACTGCACTGCACTATTGTCTGATTTTTGGTGTTTATGACAAATGTAATTATTATACTTAAAGGAATTACAATACTAATTCTTGTGATAATGGTATATGGTTTAGTTAAATTGAGTTTAATCCGATTGCAGAAGCTACATGCCAATATTTGAGCACTGATCTTTTCTATGTGTATAATAGACGAAATCGCGTGTTTAGTCCTTATATAAGTTTCTTATGCTTGCATATATTTTCAAATAAGTTTAAAATATCCATGTTCTCATATGAATATTAACAGATGATAATGGTCATTATGGAACTAAATAGTCGTTTATTAATGATAATTACTTTTTCTTTGACAGTTTCTTAGAGAATATGAGCCCAAAGCAAGCTTGAGTCCGCCTTATATCGACCTGACGGAATGCCAATATATGTGGCCATATTGTACCCAGCAATTATATTACAGCGCGCAGCCGACTATTGCTAATGTTACAGTTATTAATGGTCTTGGCGTCTCTGGGCATGTGGTGAGTGATATTAACATATTTAATTATAATTTTATCATCTTTATTCTTTAAAAATGATAAATATTAAATGATATACTATAAATTTAAACTACATTAATTTATATTTTACCATTAATGGAAGTCAAAACAATGATATTTGAAATTTTGGTAATATGAGTTAAGCTAATGTTAAACTAATATAATTCTTCAAATTAACAGAAAGGAGTGACCTGGCATCCTCACTTACCGCACGGCGTATTGCTCTCTGTATCCGTAGAGCACAGTTCAATATTATGGCCGTGGTCCGGATGGTTGGCTCTTAGTTTTAGAGTTCTCGAAGAAGGCGCCGATTTCGATGGCGTTATTGAGGTAATTAATTAAATATATTAACATATAATTAACCTCCAAATGGTGGACACGGGTCTCTTAATACAGGTGATATAAGCCTACTACTATACTACTATTGCCACACTATGTCGCGATAGGGTTTAGAATTTTCCGCTTCTTATAGTATATTGTGCTTTGTTCTTTCTATTACGACTTACGATATCTTGGGTATGACAGGAATACACATAAAAAATTATACATTGATTCCTTATTATGGTCAACACAATTAATAAATATCACACAATAAAACTAACTACTGGCCCCTCAACTATGGTACCTTGTATTACAAATCGGACTTTCGAGTCACGAGTTCATTGAAAAAAAAACTTTCAAATTCATTAAACCAGTAAAGGAACTTGATGCTTAAATTATAAACAATAATGTATGAAGAAATTTGTACAATGACACTTATTGCCAAAATTATTTTGTATTTAATTAAATATAATAATAATAATTAATGAGAGTGCCATTTGTATAACTACTTTGTATCAAAATAATGGCATTGCTATGTATATAAAAATTTATAACAAAGATCTTGAATTTATTAATCAATGACCCATAAAACTGCATGAATAGTTAAAAATTATAATTTTTACTATAATATAGACTATTTAAAATATAAACATTATTTTATATATAGAGAATCAACCCATTAGATCTTTATATCAATAAGGGTTTGACATTAAAAATACTGTAATAAGAAAAATGATTATATTTTATAATGACACCAAATACAATTTAATAATTGCAAATCCCTACGAGGTATTGGATGTTATGTATTTACTCGTTTATGTAACACCTTATTTTACCATGTAGCAAGAAAATAAATATTATTTGATTTGATTAAGTATCTTTTCTACAGAAGCATTTTACGATTTGTTACCACTTTTCATCAGCTGGGCCATCAGTTTGTTTGCCATTTCGAGGTGTGTACAGAAATATTTATTACTTACAGGGTCATATGAATGTGACAATTGAAAGTCACGGAGAGTATGGTGATAAGGCTATGCGAAATGTGACATTAATGTTGCCAATACGGTATGTATATAAATTATATAAAATATTGTTCATGAAAAATAGTAAATTAGAGATTGCTGAAATTTGTGCGTTTGGCATGTTATTATAATAAATCCAAATAATCTTCATTTATATAGACTTATAGATAGAAAGATAAATTCCTATTTTCTATTAGCTTTAATAGACACATTTTTGATACCTAGGGATCCAGTGTTGTAATTTTCATAAGGACCTCAAACGTAGCATGAAGAAACACTTAATGAACCGGTATATTGTGGTCAACCATTCAACATCTCTATTGGAGATAAGCTCGCCCTTGTGCACTATTATGTTTGTTTTTACATTTCAATAACCTTTTGTGTACAATAAAGAATAAAGAACCATTGAAAGTAAATCATTCTCTTTTCGGTTAATTGTATTCAAGGACCATATTGTCTCTGTGTTCGCTCTGGATGGCGAGGTCACATGTCGTGCTATAATAAAATAAGGATTACTACTTAAAAAAAAATAATCGGTGTATAAATTCGCTGGTAATGTAACTTACTATAAATGAAATTTTTATAATAAGGTATATAAATAACTACTACTACCGCGACTAAGGGAACTTAATGGTCGTGAGATGGATAGCAGCATCCTTCTTAAACATCACCAAAGCCTAAGTGCGGTTACTAAACTGCCTGTCAAGCGTGGCAAATACTGGCCCATATAGGGCAGGTTTGTGTTCAGCAGTATATATAACTAAAAAATTTTAATACAAAAAATAGCAGCAAAAAATAGGGTTTATTCAACTTATTTATGTACCTATTTCTAACCATTGTTACTCGTATATATGACGAAATGCATCGATATATTTTATTCTTATAAATTTTGTAAAATTATGAGATCTAGACGGCAACTAGTTAATTCTTTTAATTCTGATTTAGAATATTGAATATGATTTTGTTAGTCTTCAATTACTTGTGAATCTAGGAATCGTTTTTTTTATATCTGTGGCTTAAACACAACTGTAGGGCGCGAGTGATTCCGGTTCCTGTGCGTACTCGGCGACTGCTGTGGGACCAGTTTCACAGTCTACGCTACCCCGGCGGTTACTTCCCCCGGGATGATCTTCGCGCTAAACACGACCCACTGGATTGGCACGCCGACCACCTACATACCAACTTCAGGGACATGTATCACCGACTCCGTGAACACGGCTACTACCTCGAAGTTATGGGTAAGATAATGCAATCGCTTCAGTAATAAATGCACTGAGTTTCATATATAGAGCGCTATCCAGTACCGATCTAATCTTCATTTTTTATAATCGTCATTTCACGTAACGTCAATAAGTAAAAAAAACTTTGAAATTCATGACAATATTAGATAAAATTTAGTAGAACTATCATTTATTGCATTGTTTTTCTTTAAAAAAGAAATAGATGTTTACCAACATAATAATATTTATTGTAAAATAGCTGTACTCAGTCTAACCTCTGACACTATAGCGTATTCTGTGATGTTCTTGATTTAATATGATGTTTACAATTTTTCATCCAGTGGAAGTGACAAAAATGTGAGTTGTAAATGTTTAGCATGCCTATTATAGAACTAACATAATACTATTTTAGGTACACCTTTAACCTGCATTGATACATCACTCTATGGAGCTCTGCTACTAGTGGACCCAGAAGACGAATATTTTCCTGAAGAAATGGCCGCGTTGAAAAAGGCTGTGGATTCCGGTCTCTCGCTGGTCGTTTTCGCCGACTGGTACAATGCGTCTTTGCTTCGGCACGTTAAGTTCTACGACGAAAACACGCGGCAATGGTAAGCTGCTCTTTATCATTACCTTAAATATGTTATAAAAATGGTTAATAGAGTGTATATTTTCTTACATATATAGTTTTAATTTTGTTTTTATTTATATCTGTTATTTTTGTTTTTTTTTTCTCTATTCTTTATCTTTTCTGGCTTAAACGAGAACTCTATTAATATAAAAGTAACATGTTAATAGGTGGATACCAGAAACGGGTGGTGCCAATGTACCAGCACTGAATGATCTTCTGAGTATGTACCAGGTCTGTTATTTACCTGTTAGAACTGTTATATTGTCAGTAGTTTGTTGAAGTAAAAATATTAATGCTTTGAATGTTCAATTTAGATAAAGAAATTTAAAAAAATACATCCAGGACATTAATCTTAAAGGCAAGTAGAGGGAGGTCTTTTGTCGACTGTTACCATTGTACTTATATTTTAAATATTGTTATAATAAACTTTTACAATAAATTTGGAGATTGAGATTCTGTTTTGTAATTCTATTATCTTCACTGATAGTTAAATGTTAGTATATAGGTTAGTAATCATAATGTATGGTGATACAAAAAGAAAAATATTGTGACCTTATAAAGACTCGCTTGCTAATTCCTCAATAAAATTATTTTATAAATTTGTCACTGTTTGCCATTCTATCTTTGGTTGCTAATAACTGTTTAGTTGTTTTATTAAATTTTGAATGCAGCAAACATGGTTTGGTGAAATATTTTTGTATATGCAGGTAGCGCTGGGGGACCGCGTATTCGAAGGCTCATTCAAGCTGGGCAGACATCAAATATACTACGCGAGCGGAACGCATATTCACAGTTTCCCTGAACACGGAGTAATAATCACAGCTCCATTGAGTGATCAGGGGCAACAGGTAACGCCACTTGACAAGTTCATAAAAATATAGTAAGATTTTAACACATTGGATAATTGGTTTTCTATATTGATTTTATATTCTTTACAATTGTGATACATGCTGAGAATAAGATGACTTGAGGCTGTTTTTCAACATAACGATAATTGGCCTCTGCCTTAAGCTGAAACTAGATAAAGAGAATAAGATGTCAAGCAAGTTGATTTTGTTTTTTTGGTCTAACAAAATGTGCAAAAATATTTGCGATTGCAAACTTTAAATACAATAATGTTCTTTTAATGTTCATAAATTGCACGTAACAAAACTTGATAGAGCACAGGAAGGATTCACTTGTTTCGTTTTAATCTACCTTTACAGAATATTATAAAAACAGTATCAATTTCCGCCAGTTTGTCTATTATGTGTAACTATTTTGTATAAAATATTCTAAGTGTCCAATACTACTCATTTTCACAAGAATTGTATTCTGACATTAGATTATGTCTGGAGAAAAATCAAATGGGAATCGACCGACGAGCGGAGCACAAACCGTTGATGTGCCTATATTAGGGCTTCTGCAGACCGATGGCGAGATAAGAGACTACACCAATGACACTATGGAAAAATTGCCGAAGGTAGATACTTTTTCGTAATTTCTTTATTATTACAATTTTTTTTGTTTTATCCAATATTATTTATAATTCTAAAGAAAACTATCGACACTGATATAAAATGAAAAAATGGAGTTTACAGGTATTGTGAATAAGGTTGAGAGATTATGGGAAGCAGGAGTAAGTTTCCGCAATAACACTGAATTATAAAGTAGATGAAACAAGAGATGCGTCTAAGCACATAGTCGTTAAACATTTAGATAATAAAATAATAATGTGATTTGGAGTGGTAAACAAACTGACGGATCAGATGTAAAGTGGTGTGTAAAGTACCTGTAGTACCTGTTGCCTTTAGGCATAAACAGTACCATGGAGATCATTCCACAATGAACAATTTAATTGAACAAATCTTATGTGTATATTATATTTATATTGTGTATTGCCTTAATGTGTTACTATAATTGTCACATTTTTCACCACATCTGCCCTTCATACGCTTTCTGTTTTTCCCAATGGTTAGCTGGTAGAGAATGCCATATGGCATTAAGCTCGCCATTTGTACAAAGTTTTATTGTGCAATAAAGAATAAAATAAATAAACAGTGCATTATAATGCCAGTTATGTTAGTTGTATTGACATTTCCGAGAATTTCAATTCAATAATTTGGTGTGATGGCAGAATATCTTAATATTCTAGCTCCGTGCCAACAAAAACACAATATATAAATGTAGGTACGTATTGGAACCTATGAATTTAATACGTGGTCGTTAATATGTAAGCCTCCGTATGAGCATTTATTTTGTATCCTTAGGCTGGTCGGTTGGTTGTGTATGGGGACTCTTCATGCCTGGAGGGTGGGACGGCTCAGCCCTGTCACTGGCTACTGCTGGCTGCACTCCAATATGCGCTTGTAGGTCATCTCCCTTCACCTTTGAAGGAGGCTGCGACTCCACCACAGCATCGTGTTCGAGATGTTCATATCATTCCCTCAGGTAAAAAAATATCTAATTACTAATCGTCTATTAATACTACTAAACCCAGCGAATGTTTTACTTATATATATATTTACTAGCGGCCCGTCCCGGCTTCGCACAGGTGGACATTTTTACAACATTTTGCATTTTTATCTGTACCTGCTTAGCTACCTATTTCATAGATGTGCCCGCCCCCACCTGCCCCTCTTCCACACCGCTAAAATAGGTACAAATAACATGTACAATGCGACAGCGTTTTTTTTTTACTATTTCTATGAATTATTAAATTCATAGTAATATCTATTGAATGGAATAGCCGATTTGATTTTTATATATATAGATTTATCAGTGTATGTATAAAAATCAATAGTCGGTATGTATTTTAATCATGAGTTAGAGTACATACACATATATTGCAAAAATATTTTCCATGCTCAACCTTTATATATTTTTAGGATTATTGTACAATGTACAATTTATTTTTGTAAATAACATTATATTGTGTACTAAGGAATAAGTTATGTGTCGACTTTAAGTATCGTGACGGTTGTGTATAGATTTACCACAACGTGCGGAGGGGGGTCGTTTGCATGTGTATTCCCGAGTGCTGTCAGCTGATGGGAGCGGACCTAGGGCAGTGCCACCATGTTCCACTTTGCCCCCGTTGCCTCCGCAGCCGGTGCATGCCCCTCGAGCCGCCGGCACGCTTGCACCAAGACACCAGCCGACTGACCCCAAAAGTATAGGTAACGCGCCCCATTCGATATAAACACGGTACAAGAATATTATTTAAATGAACCGGATTGAATCATTATGTATCAAGGTGCATAAAAGTGTTTTTATAAGGTTCATATTTATATGAAACTTAAGATTGTATTCCGACCCACTACGACGCGAGCCGACGTGCGTTTTAGAATAAATGTCTCGATTTTAACTTAAATAAGCATCATAGTGGATGTCTGTATGTAAGGTTTCTGAAATGAGTTTGTCAGATATAACATTTCAAGCAAGATATACATATAAGGAATATAGTTTTATTATTATTTCAGCCGTTTAACTATCCACTGCTGAACATAAGCCTTCCCCATAATGGGAGTTTTGCTAGTAGTTGCCACGTTTGGCAGGCCATCCTTCCACCATAGGTTTCCTTAGTCGCCTCTTACGACACCCTCGGAAAAGGAAGAGGTGGCCCATTCTATGTCGGGACCTACACGGCATAGAAATATTATAGTGCAGTTTCTTAAAAAAAACATATTACAGGTGCTCCAGACATCGAAGGTACGGAACCGGCACCTCGAGCATGGCGTGGAGCCGGCGCGGCGCCGTCAAGGTCCCATCCTGACTCTGAACCAACGTCCACAACAACCAATCGAGCTATTACGTTAATTGCCATATTAGCTGTCATATACTGTCTCACCTCGATGTGGAAACGTTGCGGAAGAAAACTCCGAAGACGCAGACTGATGTCTTTGGCTACATAGCATCAGGCTAATCAACAGCAGAAAATAGCTGCAGTTGTGTCGGATAGTGCATGCTTCAAGGAGGTAACTGATGCCTTCACACTGAAAGGGACTCTAGGCAAATATTTGTTTAACCAATTGGTGTACGCTATAAACGTATGCTCTAAAAGTATGCGGCGGAATGTTACCTGAACGAGTAATAAGTAAACTAATTTATTTATTTTAGTTAATATTATTTATTAATTATTCCAAATATAGATGTCGGTATTTCAGACTTGTTCATACTTTCACTTATGTGCAATAATTGATAACATTTACTCACTTGTTCTTATTACGCTTCATACCGAGATTGGTTACACTGGTGGTATAATGATATTATGTTCAAGTAGGTATGATAAATTGATTTTTGATATATTTTTTTTACCTGATAATCTATTAATCTATATAGTTAGATTAGTCGTCTAATAAGTAATTCTTAAATTAATAGCTAAAACTTTTCCACTTCAGTCCTATTTAATTTATAGTATCTTTCAAATGAAATGCAAAAAATAGTGTATTATTTAGATATTAAGTATTTTTTTAAATGTATTTAGTACGGATGCTGCTGTATTAATTACATTTCTTTTAGTATTTACGATGGCTTCGGTTATGTGAATCCATTGTCTTACGATCCCGAATTTAATAAAATCTTTTCTTATCAAAAAATTACATTATCTAAGGAGTGCCTCTACAGAATTTTAGATTTATAGCTTCAGTAGAAGAAAAAGTTTAATAACAGAATGCCTAAAATAACCTACGAATCAGTGTGTATATATATGCAGATAATATTAAAAAAAACTAACAACATTTGACAAGAGATGGCCAATTCTTCGCAATTAGTCATTTACTAATTATATTCATATCGTATCCGTTGTAAATAAAAAAAAAATCTTTAAAAGACAATAAACGATTAGTAGCTAATCGTGAAATTTAATATTATGGTATCTATACTAATAATAAATATAGGTACCTGAAAAGGATTTAAAAATTGAACTGGGAAATTAAATTGTTTCAATCACATTGTAATGAAAGAAATTGTATATAGTAGGTATTTAGATGTATAAAATAGCATATAATTTATTTTATAAGAAAAGGAAATATGATGCATTCATTCACACACGTGTACCTTGTCCTGGCATTGTTTATATCTTGCCACTGTATATCAGAAAATAACTATATATTACTATCTTTATTTTTCATACACTGTATGACAGGGGTTGAAAAACATTTAAAAACATGTTATTTTAGTCGTGGATGGACAATTGTGACTGTTTAATTTATAGATACGTATTGTTATAGACATCGTTTGTAAATATCATCATCATCATCATCTAACAAAATAATACATTTAGTTTTTGATCATTTCTAACTTTAATTATCTCTTAAGTATGTACACTTAGGATACATCCTATGTTATTGTATTTATTCATACCATTTATCGTAATAAATACAGAACAGAATAAATACAGATGTATTTGTATGTGTATATTATCATGTTTTTGTAAAAAGGTTTTTTTTTTTATATGTCTCCTTTAGAATTTCAATTTTAATATTCCTGTACTGTATCAAATATTCTGTTGGATGCTTGAATTTGTATATATTTTTTTTGTGAATTGAATTTTAATATCTTAACTTCGAGGAAGATGCGTACTACGTACTCCTATTTATTTATGGATTTGTTGTCGTTTTAAATTGTGGCAATAACTAGTAGAAACCACTGAGTAAATATAAAATAGTTTTTATACGAGCAATAAGAGACGAAATTGAAATATGGCCCCACATTTAATTCTTTGTCATTTACAGTCAATGAGTAATAATTTGTATATCATTTTTAAATTTAGTATTGATTACTTATGTTACTTTGGCAGGGTATTTTGGTAGGAATGTATTAGCCTAAGTCTATAATAACAGGGATAGTTACAGTATTAAAAGTGGAATTAGAGTGGAGTAGTACTTGTTAGTTTTCACATACTGTATTATTATAATTCAGAATCCCTTTTTTATTGTTCCAAAATTTTAAGGAAGTATTAAAAATTTTAATTTATGCGACATTCCAACCCAGTTGATTCCGAATACTATATCATAATATGGCATTGAAAGTCAACATCAAATACACAGTGCCATCTAGTCTCAAACTGTACAAAGTTTGTTCTCTGGTTACTACTAAGAAGACCACACCTCACCCAAACAAGGGTAAAGCTTTGACTTAGTGATCTAGGGGTAGCTGCCTCTGAAATTGAAGTCGGAGTCAAGGGGTCCGTCCCGAGACTCCCACCTAAATCCTCCTAGGAGGGTTAAAAAGACCTGGACTGACTATGTATAAAATGAAGTGTTCTAAAATTTATATTTGTTAATGACCTAATAAAATCACGGTGTTTTTTTATAATAATCTTAAAAAAAGATTAGATGGAATTGTTTACATATTCCGTTATACGAGGTCTGTCCGGAAAGTTCGTATAAAAGTGTTCTGGAATGCGAGAAAGAGGAGTGGGGAGGCCAGGTAAGCGCAGGACCCCTTCCTTATGTCCCTAACAATGCTTCAGTTCTGGTCTGACCGCCGTGCGGTGCGAACTGGCTTGTCACGCCATCTGTGAAGTTACCTCTTAACGAAACCCCGTCGGCATGGAGCCCGCTTCCGTTGAAGAGCAGCGCGTCGTAATCAAGTTTCTCTCGAAACTCGGCAAGAATGGCCGTGAAATTTTTGCCGATCTCAGAACAGTTTATGGGGATGATGCTGTGAAGGAACCAACCGTCCACAAGTGGCTAAAAAGATTCAGAGAGGGCCGAGAAAGCGTTCAAGATGACCCACGTTCAGGACGTCCTTCCACTTCACATTCCGACGAAAACGTGGAAAGAATTCGAACTTGTGTTAATGGGGACCGTCGTTTAACGGTCAGACAGGTGGCTGAAGAGCTTAATTTGGGCAAAACCGTGGTCCACGAAATTCTAAGAAACGAACTTCAAATGAAAAAAATTTGCGCCAAGATCGTTCCGTGAGTTTTTGAGTAAAAATTCCATTACGGTGACCGAACACCCCCTATTCGCCGGATTTGGCCCCGTGTGACTTCTTCTTGTTCCCAAAAACCAAATTGGTACTTCGGGGGCGGCATTTGGGGGACATAAATGAGATAAAAAAAGCTACGACGGGGCAGCTGAGAAACCTACAACCAGAGGACTTTCAAGGAGCCTTCTCACAGTGGAAACGGCGTTGGCACAAGTGCATTATGTCACAGGGGGAGTACTTTGAAGGGGATAAAATTGATTTACCTGAATAATTGTAAAATAAAATTTTTAAAAAACTTTTATACGTACTTTCCGGACAAACCTCGTATATGTATGTCATATTGCAGTATTGAAAGTAGAAAGTTAAACAAAAAAACACTATGTCAAATTTGCTGATTTCCATAGAAAACTATCAATTACATTAATAGTAAACACGAATAATTGTAACGAAATTAAGAATTTTAAATTCATAACGTAACGGTCCTATGTTAATAAATACAACGAGACTTTATGGGCATTTTTGGTCTTGTATAATATGTAGATTGCTCAAATATTTGTGCAATAAATATTTTCTAGTTAATATTAATTACATGTACAGTAAATAACAGTTTTAGGTTTTTGGTATCTAATATATTAGGATATTTTTTTCCTCGTGTAATGAGAGTATGTCGTAAAATTTTTATAAGCAATTGCATATTTGTTTTACGAGATGTCGGAAGTGTGAAAGTGTATATTTCGCAACTATTTAAATATGTAAGCAAAACCTTTTGTCAGGATTGTGAGTTTATTAAATATTATTTTCTTGTTATTAAAGTTGTTGTTACATAGTACTTGTAAAATATAGGTGATTGTTACAAATTCCAAAATTCGACATATTTATTGAAAACTAGTCGTTTCCCGCGGCTTTAGCCGCACATTTCAGTATATAAAGTTCTATACATTAAATTAGGATATAGCCTACCCGTCTATCAAATTTCATTCAAGTCCTTTTAACTGTTTAAGCGTGTAACAAACAAGCGTCTTCACAAAATCAGTAGGATGAAAGCTATTTATAATATTATCTTTAAAACATTTCATCGTTGTCGTTATTGTAGGCTATATCTCATTCACATTTTAAATACATGTTGATATTAATAAGAAATAATATTATTACTTAATTGATTTATTTCATAATGGTACATTCATTTTTAAAAAAGAATGTTTTATAACTTCCAGTGTATTTTTTTTTGTATAGAATTCGTTTTATTCTAATGATGTAAATTCTCAAATAGATTTTATTAAAAAAAATTTACTACTTAAAAACTATTATTTAATAACAATATTTTAATTATTGTTTTAAATATTACCTACAGTCGTTGTCGCATTATATAAATAGTGTAATTATTTAGGTACGTGATTACTTAACTGTCGTGCCTATTTATATGGGACTTATTATACTATCGTATTTGTAGGACCTTAATATATACCATATAAGTCATATACAATATGAGATAATCGTATACGTGTGATTTTGTGGATTGACGATTTTTATACGAAACAATTGCGTCCTACTTGATGCTAAAAACGGCTACAGTGATGTATGCAAGGACTTTTTGGTCGAATAGCAAGGGAAATGTCATGTGAGGCTTGTTAATACACAAGTATATTTTGTTTCACAATTGAAGATAGCAACTGTTAAAATGAACTGTTTTAAAAGAAATATAGCTAGTGTCTTTCGTGTTTATGCAAGGATTCTAATAATTCTATTGATGTTGCAAACAGTCGAATCTGTCTGGGCATTTAAATGTTATCCGTGTAAAGAGAAACTTATATGTTTACGTGAATTCTGAAAGCATTACACGCCTTTTTTAGGCAGTTGTGTAGGAAAATCTTATCTCTAAAATTAATATTTTAATTTAATAGTTTCCCGGAAGAACTAATCATCATAACATTATATCAGTCGTTAACTGCCCACTGCTGAACATAGATTTCCCCAATAAAGGGGAGGAGAAAATAAATAGAGGGGAGGAGGGGGTAGCCAGTATTTTCCACGCTTAGTTGGCGACTGCCGCTATCTTTTGGTGATGTGTTAAGAGGAGCACTGCTGCCCATCTCTCGATGATTAAGTTCCCTTAGTTGCCCCTTACGACACTTACGGGAAAGAAAGAGGTGGTCCATTCTATGCCGGGACCACACAGCAATGTAATAACTAAGTATTTAATAGACCATCTAAAGTAAATTAATATTATTATAATAAACCGACTTTAAAAAGAACGAGGTTCTTGATTCGGTTGTATTTTTTTATGTTTGTTAACTCATAATTCCGTTAGTTATAAACCAATTTGAAAATTTTTTTTTCTGATATATAGGATTTGTATTACAGATTGATCCCATCAAATTTTTATCAATCGTTTCAGTATTCGTTTCAATTGAAGTCTGTTTTATTTTGTGGAATACAATTTTAATTATTTTGAATTAAATCTTTTAAAAATTTAGTTCATATTGGTAATTAGAATAAAGATTTCCCAGCGGTAACAAATAAACCACTCTTTGGAATCAACTTCCAGTAGCAGTATTTCCGAACCGATACGACAACATAACCTTCAAGAAAAGAGCATATTCCTTTTTAAAGACCGGCAGCACACCTGCAATGCCGTAGGTGTTGTGGGTGACCATGGGCGGCGGTAGTCACTTACCATCAGGTGAGCCGCATGCTCGTTTGCCCCCTGTGTTGTAAAAAAAAAAAAGAATTAAAATTTTAATTTTAGAGGTAGGGGTGTGTTTCTATTACCATAGCAATTAGCTTTGGTTATAGAAATGAATGGTGACAGATATTGTATTAATAAAGAGAGTTTTACTGTTATCAGTCATATATCTATCACAAACAAGCACCTACACAAGTTATGACCCAAAACTATTCTTCAGTTTATCAAAAAAGTATTCCTAAATTTTAGCATAAAATCTATTTTAAATTATTTTAAATAATTAATTTTAAAAATCCATTTTTTATTATTATATAAATTTATATTATATATTATAGAATATTAGTTGTGCTCGCGAATTTTTTCATATCTTATATAACATGCATGCCAAATTTTAAGTCGGTTAGTTTGAGCCAATAAAGCGCTAAGCTATAACAAATTCACTTTCATATTTATAATATTAGTGTATAACTTGATTGCTGTTTATAGTTAATAGGTATTAATATTTTATCAGCATGAGTGTTTAGATATTTTGTTCTCTACAAAGACTCACAGTATTGTTAAATAATTATCATATTGATGGATGCCCCTTTATTGCAAATTTACTAGGACAGCGCATTAGTTTAAGATGAGACAGTGATAATGAGGTCAATTCTGAGGTGTCATTTTTTTCAGCTTATCTCTTAGCTTAATACTTTATTTTGATAATTTCGCGAAAATAATTGTTTTATGAATGAACATACATACATATTTGACACATCTGTCTACCATTAGAGTAGGCAGAAACTATGGATCGATTCAAATAAGACTGTTTCGATTGCTGTAATGTTAAATTTATTTTTTTTAATTATCACAAAAATATAGAATTACAGAAATTGTTACATTAGCATTCAGAAACTACATAGGTTTATATTAATACTGAATACATTAAAACTATTTAATTTGTATTAAAATCGTGCAAGAAGTATTGTTTTAATTTACAGATTTTTAGAGATAGGTTTAGAGAAATGGCGCCTCAGAATCGACTCCAACATTTCCACTATTTAAAATACATTAACAATACCAAAGAATCAAGAAATGCATTGATGATTTTGTTTATTGGACTATGGTTGTGGTTGATGTATATCTATTATTTAATACATTTGATGCACCCACCACATTTACCCCAAAGCGATTGCAAGGTTACATAACGTTCTTTTTGAAGTCGTTAGGAATACGGCCATTGTCGCCTTATTTACAATTATTCAATGTTTGCCAAACTTCATATTAGGTTACTATAAATTATATATAACTTCATATTTATAATTCAATGTCATATGGCGTAAAAGTGGTCGATGCATAAGGCTTATTGTCCTGTTAATCGTAGAGCATGTGAAGTTATTGCCGAGATGAGTATTAATTTGGTATCCAAATTTTAATGTGAATTGTTTTAGGTATAGTTCGAGTGAATTTCTTAATACTGATCAGTGTTAATAGTCAAAATAACATTTGGGTATATATATATATATATATTTTTTTTTATACAATATTTATTACTGTTCTGTAATAATGTACAATCTGAAGCCTGTTCTAATGAAAAGTGGTAATATGTATGGACATAATACAGACCATAGATTATTATTATTATTATCCATAGAAACGTGACAGTTAGGTGTCATTTTCCGTCACGTGAGCCTTTATTAGGATTTGACAAAAAAATATCTAGTAAAATGATGCATGAATGTAGTATGTAAACTATGCGATACCATTACATTTTTTTTTAAATTAGTTACTTTCTGTCAGTAAGGGACCTGGTATGATAATCGATAATCATTACTAGTGCCATTCCAAATTTCCGTCATATGACAAACAAGCAGAGACTAACATTTATCATTTAGAAATGGCGTTATTCATGGCTATTATACATAAGTAAGAGATGTATGTACCGAGCGCGGTGCGTTTCTTGGAATGGCAAGACGTTATATTTGAGACAGAATAAGGAGTCAAATCAGCTCAGCAGAGGAGCAGGTAGTGTCCAGGGTTACGATTATTATTACATAAATTGTGCTAATAGTCACTGCAAATTTGTCATGTGACGCAATCGTTAACACCACTAACTTATATGTCAGACCCAAAGAATTTATCAGCAACCTGTGAAACAAAATCCGAGTGTTTGTTTTTTTCTCAAGTGCGATAAATATGTTCATAAATATTCGTAACGTTCACGCAATTTTCACGGTACGTATGCATAGATAAGGATTCACCTGGTTTCACCGCTACCTAGATAATTTACGACAATATTTTTTTTTATCGTGTCAAATTTGCTTTTATTTTCTAAATATATAAAACGCTTATGTGTGGAGCAAGTATTTCGTATTTGCCCCGTACAAAAGTGTTAGTATAGTATCGCCTGCCACAAAATATGTAGAAGAAAAAATGTGGATCGTAACGTTATTCATATTTCGTAATAATCATGAACATTGACGATTGAACTGTTAACGTTTAATATTAGATTTATTGGCATTTTATTAGTATTTACAGACACAAAAATTGTTTTATTTTCGATCGACTTAAAAAATAGTAGTTTCTCAATTCGGTTGTATTTTTTTGTTTGTTATCTCATAAATCTGTCAATTGTAAACCGATTTGGAAATTTTTTTTTTATCTGACATGATATACTTTGACTTACAGATTGGTCCGATAAAAATTTTATAAAAATTGATTCAGTAGTTTAGTTTATAAATCAAAATTTTTGCCAAAATTGAAGTCGGTTTTTTTTGGGAAACACAATCTTAATTATTAAAAGTAGAAGCGGTAAAAAGGTATCGTTTCCTATTTATAGGTACCTATATAATAACATAGTAACAATATATCTTATAAAGGTGATCATTAATTAGTATTTCATTTTAAAAAAAGAATATAGGTATATTTCTTTCTTCACTCATATTTATATGAACTTTTTAAATATGTACATATTTTCAAAATCCGTCTGGTAAATTATTTAAAATTGTAATCATTAAAATGTTATAATTTTATATTATTAATAAAATTCTACATCAATGTTAGAAATTGGCGTATTTAAAGAGCGAGGGGTCATGCCCACCCCTGAATTGTAGATGCTCATCCCACCCGCCCTGGGATGATGTGAGCAGAGCTTTCAGCTATACCTACTTAAAGACATCTCTTACCGTACATATATAGACCATTTTAAGGAACTAGGCCTCCCTTTAAATATGCCAATGATTTTATATAAAATAAAAATGTTTGTATAGACTTAATGATATTGGATATAGGTACCATTTTTATACGTTTAATAAAGGGAGTGTACCAATTCTGGGGACTGGTAGGCAAAGGAATGATGTTATTATGGCTAATACATGAATATTGCGTTATTTTGTGCAAGAGATGGTAAAAAAAAAGTTGCGAAATAAACTATTGATGTTAATATTTGTTTGATTTATTACCGAGTATTCGTATCTCCGGAATTAGTGTCAAGGTAAAATACAAAAAAAAAACTATTAACTATCGGGTGAAGAGATAGGTATAGTTTATGATTATTGTTAATTATCTTTTTATATTTTTAGACTTCGATATCTGTCGTCATCTACAGAGGATCTTAGCTAAGTTCATGACACAGTGACAGCGCACGCGTATTCCATGCGTGCGTCACCGGCGCGCGTCGCTCCGTTCAACGCAGCCGGGCTGCGGTGTACTTACGTAGTCACACACCGATCAGAGTTAGACCGTTCGGAATCACCAAACGGTGAGCCGAGGCAACGTCACCTAGTTGCCGTTCATTCGAAATAACAATTCGAGACTCGATTCATTCGAGTCTCGAGTCATTCGCTCAGTTATCGCGAGTGCTTTGTTGCGGAAAGACGTTTTTTACGAGCGCGGTTGCACAACGCTAACATTCGCGATGTCGCGCGTATATCAACCATCTGACTATGTCGTTGAAAAGTCCCGTGTACCATCTTTTGACAAATATAAAGAAATGCACAAAAAGTCTTTAGAGGACCCTGAAGCGTTTTGGTCAGAAATAGCAAACGAGTTTCATTGGCAAACACCGCCGCAGCCGGGCAATTTCCTCTCGTACAACTTCGATATAAATAAGGGGGACATTTTCATTAAATGGATGGAAGGTGCTGTAACCAACGTCTGCTTTAACCTCCTAGATCGGAACGTGAGGAATGGGCATGGGGACAAGATTGCGTATTACTGGTAAGTCATTTTTAGTTGTAAACTGCTATGAATCAATAATCAGCTGAGCGAATGCAGAACTGAGACGGCGCGCGAAATATTGATTTCCCCTGTAGTATACCATTTCACCTATTAGTGTAGTTGTTATTCTACAAGCGACATTCTATTATGTAATGCATTTACTTCATCTTCACACATGTTATATTAATAATAAGATCGAATTCGCCGAGCGATCGTATTTATAATTTTAAATAAGTATACCTATGTAACCATTTGTCAAATTATTGCCGTGTCCTAAGGTATCCACTGATCGTCTTATAAAATATGCCTATTTTTCGCACTGATCTGTATTTTTTTTTATTACACTCTGATTAGATTTAAACATACATCGAATATCACACTCTCTACCTACTGCCTATACCTTCGTTAACATTACTCGATGTTGATTAGGTACATTTAAGTGTTATAATTTGATGCGCTCATTATACATTTATGCGGAATCAGTAGGTATTTGTGACCAATGACTAGTAAATTACCTATGTTTGAGTTTTTACAGTATCAATCGATTTAACTAACTATATTTTAAATACTTATGGATATAAAAATTAAAAAATATGACAATATTTTATTTGTAAAAAAAGAAACTTACGAGTAATTTGTCGCGATTAAGGGTCATTGCTTCTAGTTTCCATAAATATATACATAGGTAATTTCTTTTTAATAGATGACAATGGACTGGCAATTTCGCCCGCGCTAACGGTATACGCTGGCGGGGCACCAGTGAGCGATGATAGGTGAGGATGAGGTAGGCCAGTTAGCCCATTGTGATGAATACACTTAGAATTCAGCACCATGGTTTCCAGGGAGGTCGACCTGTTAGGGTATATTGTTAACAATGGGTCTGGTAATTCGCATTACTAATAATCTTACCCTCCTATATATACATAGGTAAGCTGATACGGTTATTTTTTCAATTAAAATATAATTTCTGCTTATGAAACTTTTAACAATAAAATGTTAGTACTTAATAGGCTAGTTTTAATAAAAATAGACTTAGGACAGAACAACTTTAGAACTTCTGTATTTCTTTATAGTCAACCTTTTTCTTCACTTGTTTTTATATTATTATCGTTATTGTTTCTATATTATATAAAATGACCTATCTAAAATTGTCTTCATTCATTTCGCAGTTCGATTTCAAACGTAAAATAACCCATAAAACATAAAATTATGCAACTTCACGGTGAAAGAGATAAGCACTTGCGATTGTGGTCTCCACGGTCGACTGAAACACGACATAGATTCTAGAGTTAAATGAGAATGGAATGCCATTTCTCTTTTTGACATGATATAACTGTTTCGGTTGGGCGTTGCCCCGTTCACACCTCCTTTTGGGTATCCGTGTATACGCTACAGTTAAAACTTATCAGTCAAATGAACTTTTGACTGAGAAAGTAGTCGGCGGTTTATTTGCGTCGGTAGGTAACTATAATTTCTTCACCTGTCTATAGGTGAGGATTAAGTCAGATCAGTTGACACATATTGTCATATTCACCAGGAATTGATCACGACCATTTATAGGGCGACCAGGCAGAGGTCGACTTGACAAGTCCATCTTGCTAATAGTGAGACTGCTATTTCCCGTATTAACTTTAACTTATTATATTATATAACTTAAATTTATTATATGAATTTCTGTTTCGGTTTTAACACAATATCGATTTTAAAAAAAGAAACGCACTTTTTCTTTATTACTTTTATGTAAATTACATTTTACATAAATTAATTTCAAAAAGATTATAGCAAAAATCAATCATAGAATTTTAATATTTTATATAATAAGATTTCATATAATTAACGTAATCTGCAAATAACATTCCATAAATGACCGACATTGGAATGATGAGTATTAGCCATACATTTTTTATTATATAGAGCCTTAACACTCTGTTTCCCTTACAAGTTAAAGTTAAGGCAATCGGTTATTATAGATAGGAAGTAGTTAGTGGAGATTGTAATTAACGTAGCATGGTTGTCTCTAAAAATACTAGATTTGGACCACAATAAAAAGCAAAATGCAATGTCCGGTAGCAAGAATCCGATTAAAATTTCCTTTCGCCTTTAATGAGCATGTTATACTGTGCCCTTCCCGTTACCTATTTGCATTATAATATGTCGGCATTTGAAATATAAATTTGTAATTTTCCCTGTTTTTGACTATCATGTATTTCGATTAGAGGCTATTGGGTCGTTTGTCATGATAGACAGAAGGACAATGTACGCACGTCAGTGTCGAACCATGGAATTCTAAAAAGACCTATTGCATCGGTATTACTAACATTATTCATTAGGTTAAAGGTTACATGTAATATAAACTTGCAGCCCTAAGAAACTAAAAAAAAATCAATACTTTGTAATATTTTTATCTACTTATTTATATGCCATTTAGGTACAAGGTATATATATTTTTATTTTATTCTGGATAACAATGGAACTATAAACATTATGTTCTGAAAATGTACTTTAGTATTTTACTTATATAATATAATTGCAACAAGACGATGTCCGTACATGAAAGACATTAATATGAGGCGTCATAATAAGATTAATAGAAGCCAATTCAATATTTTTTGTAATTTTGCCTCTCTGTCTGTATATTTGTAACGGCGTCACGCAACACTACTGCACCAACGCATGCAGTTTTCATGGTTATTTTCCTGTTAACTTAAAATGTGTTTATATTTTATCCTGATACGCCATCTAGAAGTGATCTGTTTCATTGGCTTTTACGAGTTTTGAAATTACGCGTCAGAAGTAGCAAGTAAAAAGCTAGTTAGTACATCTAACTGTCTGTCTAACTGCTTGCTTCACTTCGTCAGAGGATTGTAAATAATTTAATAAAATTTTACAAGACACGAGAACTTAACATCGTAGTCCTCAGGAATGTCAAAGCATTCAAGAGTATTGTGGATGAATCTACAGTGTATTAAAACACTTGTACCTACTTATAACCATCTGTTACTTAAACATAATACTAAGTATTGTCATGCATAAAATAATAATTCAACATTTTAATATTTATAGTTCGTATAAATAAATAGTGTTCCACGAAAAAAAAAAAACCGACATTAATTTTGGCAAAACCAGTTATTTAAATTTTAAAACTACTTTATTGAATTGATTATGATAAAACTTCTATAGGACCAATCCGTAAGTATATCTTTTTAAAATAAAAAAATCCAATTTGATTTATAAGTAACGGACTTAAGAGGTAACAAGTATAAAAAAAAACAACCGTTCTGAGTACCTCCTTCTTTTAGAATTAGGTTGAAAAGTAAACTATTTTCAATGAACTTTTAATTTATACAACCTTCTTAGGAATATTTATGTTTGTCCAATTAGCGGAAGTTGATGGACACGCGACCTTTCCACTGGCATACATAATAGACCTTCCTACTCAACTCACCATCAGAACTGAATTACCTTACTGATTTTCCCATTATTCATAATGGGGTATTCATAAAACAATTTTATAGCTAGCGCTCGCTGTTTATGGAAATAACATTTCTTGTTAATATTATAAACTACTTCTAATATTGCATGATATTGCAGATATTCATTGGTATGTTAAAAGATTAATTCTCGTATGCTGATGTACATTCTTTATTGTATAAAAAAAGGAAATCTTAAAATTTGATATAATGTAGACACAACTTTTAACCGACTTCAAAAAGAAGGAAGTTCTTAATTCTACTTCTTAGGAATTAGGAAGTTCTTAGTTGTACTGCTTTTTTTACGTTTGTTACCTCATAATTTGTCAGTTGTAAATCGATTTGGAAAATTAATTTTTAGTCTGAAAGTATATACTTACATATTGGTGCTATAGAAGTTTTATCAAAATCAGTTTAGTAGTTTAGTTTATAAATCAAAATAACTGGTTTTAGCACAATTGAAGTCTGTTTTTTTTTGTGGAACACGCTCTTAATTATATTTTTAATATACTGACCACAGGCCACAACTTTGCTATCTTTTCAATTTTCGTTTATTCACTTAAAATTATATAGGTGAAATCAAAGTCGACCAGTGGTACGTAAAATGTTGAGCCTTACTTATACTTACTGATACTTGTATTAATTTAATAGCTACATGCTCTTTGTTAGTATAAAAGGTTAATGATTTCTGTCGTTTCCGACCTATGTTACTTTCTGAAACATACACGTTTTTATTAGTACAACATTCCCTCAAAAGAATGTTAACGCTTTTGATTCCAAAATCTATTATTAGCTGAGCAATCCCCCATCCGAAAATGTGCAGTGCTATTTATTTTTCGTTCAGTGACGAATTCTTGAAGAATCCCGAATCCATATTCCATGATAACCATTTTTATGGCACATTTGTTTTATGATTTGTTGATCTTTGGACATTACTGCCAACTTTGTCAGCGTAGTTCAGGCTTCATACAATCAACATTACCATTTATTTTACCAAAAGTGGTATAAAATTGGTAATCGTTGTAATACGAGTATATTAGATATATTGCCATAATAATAGATCGCGTTACATTGCATTGCATTACTGTAAGGAATGTAAATTAAATTATTAGGTACCACTTATTAGAAATCAAACTAATAAGGTCACAATTAAATTTATAATTGAAATAAACGGAATAATTGCGTGCCCTTACCAATTACGTTTAAACAGTAGAGGATATCGTTAAAATAGAATATCCAAGTTTGTTAAGTTGTTCAATTTCAATAATATTACCGAAATATTTTTTATTGATTCATAGAAATAAAAATGCTCAACGCTACATTTAGAGATCTAATAATAATTGGATTGTCATCATGATAAAATGTGTCGGTGAGTTGGTTGCTCACTAAAACTCGATGGATTAGTATTTTTTTTGATGGGTGAAAATGGAATGGTAACCCCGGCTGCGCTAACGGAATACGCTGGCGGAGCACCAGTGAAGGGTGATAGATGAGAATGAAAACAGGCCAGTTAGCCCATCATGATGAATT